CCTGGTTCATTGCTATAGTCATGTTGGGGATGCGGACCAGTGAGGCATCATCCTGCTGTAGCTTTCTGGAAACCCAGGAAGTGATGAAACTTACAACTCTTCCTGAAATGTTGGGTGTACTTCTTGAGGAAGAAGTCAGAAGAGACTGTAGCTTAATTTTTTGGTCCTGATCATTACATATTTTCAGTGGGCTATTTGTTTTGTTTATTGTACCAGGGATTGAACCTGGGGCGCTTAACCACTGAGCTATATCCCCAGCCCTTTTTATTTTTTATTTTGAGACAGGATCTTGCTAAATTGCTGAGGCTGGCTTTGAGCTTGTGATCCTCCTGCATCAGCCACCCAGCCGCTGGAAATATAGGCGTGCACCACTGTGCCTTGCTGGGCTGTTTGTTTTCATTTTCGAATTTTCTAAGATTAGAATAAGTCTTAGATACAGTTTAACCATTTAGGATCAAAGGCCATCTGTTATGCTGTCATATGAGAAATCTCACATAAGTTGATTGCCTGACTTAGTGCTTTCTAGGACACACTGTCACAAAATAGAACTATTTTATTTTTTAATTTGTATTGGAATAACAGTCTGTGGGTTCGTTATTTGGGGATTGGTTGACTAATTATGTTACATATACAGAATAGAATACTGAAGAACTTTAAGAATGATATACCTAGGATGATTTTGATATGGAAAAGTATTAAAACCTATTAAATGGGCTACGCCAAACATTTATATCTTTTCCCTCCATATATGTGGAAATGCACATGCTGCTGTCTACCTAAGTCCTAAGATACCTCTCCATATCCTCCATAGATTCTGCATCCATGGATTCAACCAATTGCTAATGATTTTCCATTTTCATTTGAAAACATTGCCCCTGTACTAAACATGTACAGACTTTTCTTGTCATTTCCTACGCAATACAGTATAACAACTATTTACGTAACATTCATATTGTATTAGGTTTATAAGCAGTCCAAAGATGACTTAAAGTATACAGGAGGACGTGCATGTGTTACATGCAAACACTGCACCTTTTAATGTAAGGGATATGAGCATGCACATATTTTGGTATATTTGGAGATTCTGGACCCTTCCTTTGTGGATGCTGAGGAACAGTTGTATGCCAAACTGAGTGATGATTTTTGAATAGTGTATTGTATTTTGTACCTTTTAAAAATAAAGATTATATAGTATCTAAAAATATTTGTTTTAAGGGAAAAATTAACGATAAGTTTGTTTATTGTGTGTCCTTCCCTTCTCCCCCTCCAGTGCTGGGCAATGAACCCAGGCATTTTTTTTTTTTTTTTTTTAAGAATTTAAAATGTAAGAAGGAGATTGAGGGGATGCAGGAGGGTTGGGAAAGGGGCAGAAATATGAATTGAATTAGATAAAATTACACTGTGTACATGTATAAATATACCACAGTGAATTTTGCCTTTATGTGTATCTGTAAAGCACCAATTAAAAATAGATAAATAAATAGAAGGAAGATCAGTGGAGTATAAGAAGGAAAATGGGGGGAGGGAAGAGGGGAAAGAAAGAGGAGGCCCTAGGAACTGAAATGGAGCAAATTAAATTCCATGAATGTTTGATTACATGCAAATGAACCCAGCTATTGTGTATAATTACAATGCACTAATAAAGGCATTGAAAATTCTAAAATAAATGAATAAATAAAATTGTAGATTCAGGGATTGATCTTATACTTTCGAGTGCCAGGAAGCCTTTTTTTCAAATCATGAAATTCCTTTGGATAAGAACAACTCATGATCACTATAGAAATTTTGAAAAATAAGGAAACACATAAAGCAAAGTAACTTAACCTACCTGCTTTTAATACCCCTGTTTATTTCGTCAAGTCACCAATTGTTTAAGATATATTTAAGTTTCCATGGTCCTGTGTTTCTTTCCTGTCTTTCTGAAGTTTTTCTAACTCTGAGTGGTGATTCATGCTTGCCCCTAGGTGATAGAATAAAGAAAAAGGTTAGGGGTAGTTTACCATTAAGATTTCACTAATGACAGCTTCAATCTCTTCCAGGGCTTTAAAGCCTGTACTGTTCTGGTTCAAGGTCAGTGTTTTGGGCGTAGACATTCTAAAATATGTTGAAGGGCAAATCTAAGTTTTAATGACAGAGTTTTAGATAATCTTTTTAAATTTACTTCTTTAAGTTTCATTTACAATGCCTGATAGCCAGAGGGACTATTTCATAAGTACTTCCTGAACATTTGCCAAATGGGGAAAAGGATTTTAAAAAGGGAAAACCAAAAATGAAACTAGAAAAGATAGGATAGTAGATGAGCTGCAGGCTTTGGACAGTGAAAGGACAGTTAACTTTGGACAGTTAATTCTTTAGGAAAACAGACTGATGCTGATATTGTTCTGGTCTGACAAATCAGAATGGGTATTTTTAAAAATATTTTTATTAGTTGTTGATGGACCTTTATTTTATGATTTATATGTGGTGCTGAGAATCGAACCCTGTTCCTCACACATGCTAGGCACTGAGCCACAACCCCAGCCTCCAGAATGAGTTTTTTTTTTTTTTTAAGACTTAGAAGATGGATGATAGATGGGACCAAAATTAAAGTGCAAAACAGAGACAGACACATTTAGTGCCATTTACTGAGATGCTTTTAGTTTTATGTGTAGTTTGGTTTTCTAATAACTACGATGATGAAAGGTCTGGAAAATATAAAACTGTTTTTCCTGTTAACTTTTAACAAAAAACAAAACTACAAACTCTCTGAATTTTCTAGACTTTCCTAGCCAGATTTTCCTAGCTACTCCCTAAAGCTTTACCTCTATTTCAGCTGGAGTTTGATCCATATAAAATATTCATTCCTGTTCTATAAATAGGAGAAAATACACCATTTCCATCTGTCGTGGCTACAACTATTAAATTTTTCTCTGACTTTTGAGAAATTAAATCATAAACGCAAATAACCTTTTTTGTCAGTTTTTATAAAAACATTGTTATGAATGTAATACAGCATCACAGAGTTTGTGGAAAATTTATAGAGACTAATCATTTTTCTAGGCTTATCATCATTTGTACTTATTGGAGTTCCATCTACAGGTTGGCCATTTATGATAACTTTTTGTTTTGTTCTTGATGGTTCCTATAGGGTATTAGAATTTAGGAAAAAAATGTTGAATGGTCTTCTTGGGACATGAATGTGTTAAATTATTTAAAAAAATTTTTTAGCTATAGATGGACACAGTATCTTTATTTATGTATTTTTATATGATGCTGAGGATCGAACCCAGTGCCTCACACGTGTGAGACTGAGCTACAGCTCCAGTCCAAATTATTTAATTCGGGAGAGTTTTCTTTTACCACCCACTGCCTCTCATCTCCTTCTAAAGTAAAACATGATGGTTCTACTGTGGGATTCAGTTGAATTACAGTTTTTCTCGTCAACTCCTTTCTCATCAGCTTCTTTTCTATATTAAACTTGAAGCTTTTTCCACTTACTTTCAGATGTGAACCCCCAGGACTGGTATGTAATGCTTGGGAACTCTTCTGCTATTTATGTAGATACATACTGACGAGAGGGTAGGGCTGCCTTGGGAATCCAGGGCCACCCAGAAGTAAAAGCAACCTAATTTAGTGGGTTGCTTGAGAATTAGATTGGAAAAAGAACTGGCATGCAGCTGAGAGAGGAGCATGGATAGAATGAGTGACTTCAACACAACCAGACGATAGGGGCAGGTAGACAGTCTGGAGACGTCTGGATGAGGTGTTGAGAAACTGTCCTTGTCATAACCTGTGTGAACTCTGGGCTTGATCCTAATACAAATGACCAAAAAGCTCCTTTTTCCAGAATGCCTGTGGTTCACAATTATATGTGAAGGGTCTATTGTGGGTACCCGACAAACATTTTTTTTTTTTTTTTTTAATTTTTTTAGTTGTCAATGGACCTTTATTTTACTTACTTATATGTGGTGCTGCGAATCGAACTCTGTGCCTCACACATGCTAGGCAAGTGCTCTACCACTAAGCCACAGCCCCAGCCCCTGACAAACATTTTTGTTGATGTTGATGGTACCTGCTTTTTCAAGTTAGTTTTAAACACCCCATTTGATAGATGAGGAAATTGAAGCTTATGACAATTCAGCAACCAGCCTAAAAATAATACAGCCATTAACTCTGGCATTAAGTTGAAGTCCCGCTTCTTTCAGAATTCACTAGATGGTACTCTTTAATAGTAGCACATTCATGATAAATAAGATCCTTGAGGATTGCTTATTCTTAAGTTTGGAGACTTTGTTCCAAAGAGAATTGTTGTTTTCCTACAAGATGTAAAATTTTCTGGGGTCTTGGGTCCATCGTCAGCACTTAGTATTGTTCATGTTCTTTTCCCCCATACCAGGGATTTAATAGAGAGGTGTTCAACCACTGAGCCACATTCCCCTCCCCCATTTTTTTTTTTTGTGGTGCTAGGGATTGAACCCAGGGCCTTGTGCATATGAGGCAAGCACTCTACCAACTGAGCTATATCCCTAGCCCTCCCCTGCCATTTTTTATATTTTATTTGAGGCAGAGTCTCAGTAAGTTGCTCAGGGCTCACCAAGTTGCTGAGGCTGACTTTGAACTTGGAATCCTCTTGATTCAGCCTCCCAAACTGCTGGGATTACAGATGTGCACCACCACATCTGGATGTTCACATCTTTTCAAACATCCATTCTAGTTCTCAGCTCCACCACTTACTAGTTGAATGACCTCATGTGGACTGCTCCACCTTCCTTTTTCTTTCTTTCTTCTGGTGCTGGTGAACCGGGGGTCTTGGACGTGCTAGGCAAGAGCTCTACCACTGAGCCACACCCCCAGGCCCTGCTTCACCTTTTTAGCTTCATTGTCCTCATCCATAACATAGAGACAACAATATTTACCTCATGGAGTTTTCTGAGGGTTAAATTAGCATTCTACATTTGTTTTTGAATGTGGTGTTTACAAATGAGATACAGTATTATAATGAAAAGTTTCTCCCATTGTAGGTTTTCTTGAATTTTCTGTGGGGAAATTCAGATACTTCGAGCTCAACAGGCTGTTTCCAGAGGAAGCTATTTTGCGTCATATTTCAAGTAATGTGACTTTCCTTATTTTCCAAATACACTCACAGTATCGGAATACAACACTTTCTTTTTCTCAGGTATGTATGAAGAATTATTTCAGCAAAAATATCATTTCCATATGTTTAGGTCTTATGTGTGGTATAAGCATTAGAATTTGATGTCTCTTCATGTTTATGTCTTTTGTCTTAAAAAGATTGAGTTGGGGGCTGGGGTTGTGGCTCAGCGGTAGAGCACTAGCCTAGCACGTGCAAGGTGCTGGGTTCGATCCTCAGCACCACATAAAAATAAATAAATAAAATAAAGGTATTCTGTCCAACTACAACTAAGGAAAAAAATTAAAAAAAAAAAAAAGATTGTGTTGTCAGGTTAGTAATTGAGAGCAGCAGATGTTAGTACTTCAGTACTTTCTTTTTCTTTTTTTTTGGTACTGAGGATTGAACCCAGGGATGCTTTACCCCTGAGCTACATCCCCAGTCCTTTTAATTTTTTATTTTGAGACAGGATCTCATTAAATTGCTGAGGCTGGCCTCAACTGGTGATCCTTCTGTCTCATCCTCACATGTCACTAGGATTATAGACATGTGCCAGTGTGCCAGCCTCTGACTTAGAGCTGGAGAGCCAAGTCATGGGAGAGGGGTCCTGTGCCTGATGTCTCTTCTCTGCACTTAAGTTTTCCTACCATTTCATTTTCTCACTCTGTGGGTCCTTAAATAATTTTTCTGATAATATATTTTAATGTGTTTCCATTGTCGTTTAGCTATTTGTTGTAGCTTACTGAGAACCCTATGTGATCAGTTTTATCCTTTGGAGTCTCTCTTGTAAACAAATGAATTCTTTTTTGTGGGGGTGGGGGTGGAGGTGGGGGCAGGTACTGGAGATTGAACCCAGGGATGCTTAACCACTGAATCACATCCTCAGCCATTTAAAAATTTTTTTATTTTTTATTTTGAGGCAGGGTCTTGATAAGATGCTGAGGCTGGCTTTGAACCAAATGAAGGAATTAACACCTAGTTCATCCAGCCTTGCGCTGCACATCCAGCAGAGTTAAGAACTCTACTGTAGATGTCATCACTAACCCCTTAAGATAACCTCAACTTTGGAAAGTTTTTAGTTGGATTAACTTGAACTTTTTAGGATCAGTCATTTATGGTAACTTTTCACAAATCTGTATTTGGCCTACATGAACCCTTAGACTAATGAATGAATTTTGCCCTGTGTGAAATTACTTTTTATTTGTTCCACGCCTATCTTCTAATGTTCTGGAATTTGGTTAACAAACCTGTCTCAACCCAGTACGTATGCAGTTTGATAGGCATTGGTCATCTTGTATTTATGGGGTGCCATGTGATTTCTTGATACGTGTATACATTGAGTAATGTTTAAACCAGGTTAAACATACCTCCTCAAATATCTATCATTTCTTCAAGGTGAAAACATTCAAATTTTTCTAGCTTTTGCAAACAGTGCTTTATAATTATCTGTACCCATTCTTCTGGACAAATAGCACACTAAAACTTGCTCTTATCTAACTGTAACTTCCTTCCCACTTATCAGCTTCTCCCCATCTACTCTCCCCAGCCTCTGGCAACCACTGTTCTACTCTCAACTTCTGTGAAATCAACTGTTTGAGATTCTGTATGTGAGTGAGATCATTTGGTAATTATCTTTCTGTGCCTTGCTTATTTTACTAAACATAATGATCTCCAGTTCTGCCATGTTGTCACAAATGATAGGATTCAGTTGATAACAAAGACAATAAGAGAGGATGGGAAGGGCATTTAAGTTTATTAGATACTTTGTGCTAAATCTGTGTTTCTTAAACTCTTGAAGCCAGAGACTGCTTGTTCGTGGACACCCTCTCCCAGGCAAAATACAATTTCATAGGGGCCTCTGGAGACTTAGAGAACCCTCTGATTCCTGTTTGGGAACCTCTGTGTTTGATTTCCATATAGTTAATTCTCATAGCAGCTTAGTAACATAGTTGTGATGCCTGTTCCTACATTTGAGAAAACAGATCTTTGATAAAGAAATGTTGACATAATAAATGACCAAAGAGATCTGGCTGAACAGCATCTTGGGCCTTGATTCCATGCAGAAAAATCTTAGTTATAAAAGTTTTCATTTCTTGGGCCACTTTTAGTTCCACTATTCATACTGTTTAGAAGATGATGACCAGAACTGCATGCACCTAGAAATGAGAGGTCTGTGTGAGAATTGTTTGTTTCCTGCATCCTAGAAACTATTGGTTTTTGGGTTATCATGACAGTTCGTTGTTTCTTGGAATCCATTGACCTTACAGTTAATTAATACATGAGTCATTTTTGTGTATGCCTGTCAAATTGAATCTGATTCCTTTATCTGTCCCCTGCTTTTTTTGTTTTAAAAGAGCATTCTGAGTTTGCTTCCTTAATATTTTATTATTAAAAAAGCATTTTATTAGTAAAGAAGATTTCTAAACAGATGGGATTGGGGGATGTAATAGGGAGAGGAGTGTAGGGGAAGGATTGGGAAGGGGCTCAGGAAACTTTTTGGAAGTCCTGCATATATTCATTGTTTTGAATTGGTGATGGTTTCACAGGTCTCTGCATGTATCAAAACTTTTCAAATGATATACTTCATGTGCAGTTTATAATTTGTTACAACTTAGTTACAAAAGGCTTTCTAGAAACTGAACTCCTTTGGGTTGGGATTCATATCTTTATTGTCTTAGTAAATTTTAACTCAGGGGAATCAAAATGCTTGTAAAATCCATTGTTCAATTTCTGATCAAAGATTTTTGTTATGGAGTGAATATGTCCTCTCCAAATTCATATGTTGAAATCCTAACTCCTGGTGTCTTGGTATTAGGAAGTGGGTCCTGTGGAAAGTGTTAGGTCCTAAGAGCAGAGTCCTCATACGTGGAATTGGTGCCCTTGTACAAGAGGTGCCCCTTCTGCTGTGTGAGGATGCAGCCAGAGGTTGGCAGTTTGCAGCCTGGAAGAGGGTTCTCACTTGAACTTAACTATGTTGGCACTCTGCTCAGATTTCCAGCTTCTGGAACTATAAGAAATAAATTTTTATTCTTTATATACAACCCAATCTATGGTACTTTGTTATAGCAGCCCAAACTGACTAAAACAATAGTGCATTTTAAAGAATTCTACTTATAGATGTGAACATGTGAACATAGGGATGAAAAGAATTTCTTAATTATTTAAGGAAGGGCTGGTTCCTCCCCGTCCCCTATTTTTCATTTGAATATATTTGGAATAGGCCTTGCATACTGGATCAATTCTATGTCTTTTGCTCAACTTCCTATTCATGGTGACTTTTCTTCCTAATTGCAGACTCTCCTTCCCAATACCTCAGGAACAGGCAATGACAAAGGACTGGTTTTTATTCTTAGACCAGAGCAGAGTATGTGCACTTGGTATTTGGAGACTACAGATGCTGAGCCTGTTCAAAATGTGGCCATTCCACTCTCGTACTCAGAAAGAGGTAACCTGTCTTTGACTCTCTATTACTATAAGGAATATGGGATGTATTTGTGAAAATTTAAGGAAAATTATCCTATTATGATTGCTTGTTGTAAGTGCTATTTAATCAGAAATATTTTAATAGCAAGGGAGCTCAAAGTGAGCATGATGAGTGAAAGCTCAGGTGGTGATGGGGAGAGTATATTTAAGGAGCTCTTGGAAAAGCAGAAACAGAAAGGCAAGAAACAGAACTTAGCAGTTGATTCTTCTAAGTTGAGGAAGCAGTGAGCTTAATGTTTTGAAGGAGGAGTGTGGCAAGTGGGTGTGGCTGGAATCAGAGTGCAAAGGGCCTTATACAGCATGAAGTTTGCATTCTATCCTGAGGTCAGTTCTAAGGAAGTGTAGAGTTTCCAGGCAGAGGAATGATGGGGTCCATTTCATCTTGGAAAGCTAACCCTGGAGCCGGTGTTGGGAGTGGATTGGAGAAAGCACAGCAGAGTCAGGACTCAGTAAAGCTTTGAGGGTTCAGAGTGGGAAATGAAGATCTGAGCTGAGGCCACAAGATGGGGTGGAGAAGAGGGGCTGGTCTTGAGATGTTTGGAAGGTAGCATTGATAAGACACAATGACCAGTGGTTTGGGATTAGTAGAGGGGTACATAGACTTCCTATATGGACAGCTTGGAGATAGCGATGGAAGTAGGCAGAGGAACAGGGTTGTTGTATTGGATGTTTTATGGGGTGCAATGGAATAGATGATGACTTCAGTTTGAGACGCAGTGAATCCCAGATGGGATTGTTGGACATATGGATGACAGTGCATAGTGGGCAGTTAAAATATGGACCTGGAATGGAGGAGTGAGGTTAGATACTCAGCAAAGGAAAAGCCATCCTGTGAGTGAAATTGTCCAGGCATGTACTTAGAAAACTAGGGGGAAATGGCAGATACTTTCCTAGTTCCTACTATTTGTCAGGCAGCACTTCTGGGTGCCTGGGGGATATTAACTGCTGAGGAATAAGCGTAAGACTGAGATGTGGTCTTGGAGGTAGGAGAAGAGCTCAGAGGTGCAGCCTTAGTAAGGAGTGGATAACAGAACACTGTAGGGAGGTCCAGAGAAGTGACCAGAAGGGTCCATCTGATAGTAATAAAGCATGAGTGGTGGCTTTTAATGGGAGTCATCTTAGTGGCATAGACAGGAGGGATGAAAATGAGATTTCAGTGATTGAGCAGCGCAGGTGAGGTGAGGGAAATTAGGCCATGCTTAAAGTTTAGGGAACAAGGGAAGGAGAGGAGTGATAGGTAGTAAAGGAGGTGGAATTCGAATGATTATCAGAATCAAGGAAAGGGAATGCTTTCTGTAACTAAAGAGTAATTACCTGGTAAAAAGTTATAGACTCACCAAGCATGGTGGTGCACACCTGTAACCCCAGTGGCTCAGAAGGCTGAGGCAGGAGGATCACAAGTTTGAGGCCAGCTGCAGCAACTTTAGCAAGGCCCTAAGCAATATAGCAAGACCATGTCTCAAAGAAAAAAGAAAAGGCTGGGGCTATGACCCAGCCAGTGGTTAAGCATCCCTGGGTTCAATCCTTAGTACCAAAATCGAACAAACAAATCCATAGACTTCAGCCTTCTATCAAAGACAGTGTAACCCACCCTGTAACCTTCCCCAAAAAAGTAGAGCTTCAGGTGGGATGCATATCATTTTCTTAGGTGTTGTAGATATTTGTAAGTGCAGAGAAAGAATATTAAAAAAAAGCCCAAAATTTTGAGGAAGATTCCACATAATATTGAAGTATACACTATATTCCATCTCAGCTCTCACCAGGGGAAGTCTACCACCAGAATTCCAACAGTTTGTGGAAACCAAGATTCAGCTGTGGGAATAGATGGATGAGTGTATGAAGTTGTGATCTAAATCTTTAGATTGGTTAACCTGCTCTGTCTTATCCTCTCCATATGACTGCATAACACACAGTTCTTCATATGGAGTTGAGCTAATGTCAAGTGACTTCAGTAGGATTCTTAACAAGAAAAGAGCTATTTCAGTCACATGATTAACGTCAAGTTACCAAAATCTATCTTGTGTTTGATTAAATACTCAAGTGCTATTCACATAAATGGCCCTAGGGTCTTTTATATTTACTCTTTTGTAGAAACACAATGACTGTTCCTACAGTAGTGAGGATGATACCATTTTTCTCTGTTGAAAGAGGCCATATGAAAAGTAGATGCCCTTACCTCTTTTATTTTTGGAATTAGGGATTGAACCCAGGGGTACTCTACCAGTGAGCTACATCCCAGGCCTTTGTATTTTTTATTTTCAGACAGGGTCTTGCTGGGGGTCTTGTTGAGGCTGGCCTTAAAATTGTAACCCTCCTGTCTCAGCCTCCAGATTCACTGGTATTATAGACGTGTGCCCCATGTTTGGCTGCATCCCCCTACAGCTGTTACCCATGGAGTTCCCTTTCTTTTTGGCAGTGATTTCCCCCCCACCCCCGACCCCCCGCCCATCTTCAGATTTTTAAGCATTTTTTTTTGAGTCACAGACTCCAGAATATAATAAAAAGTTTTCTCCCAAGGAAATGTAGAAATTCAATATTTGGCAACTTCAGGGTGCTTGTGGAGCCCATGAAACCCATTTTTGGACCTCAGTTTAAAAATGTCACTTTTGACTAAACTCTAGAGATTGGCATGCTGGAGATGGTAAGCCAGATCCAGCTTGCTGTCTGTCTTTGTGCATAAAACTTTATTGAAACATACCTGTGCCTGTTCATTTGTGTATTATTTGTGGTTGCTTTTGTGTCTCAAGGGCAGGACTGAGCAGTTGTCATAGAGACCCTCAGACCCTCAAAGCCTAAAATAGTCCCTGGTCTAGGGTCCTCATCCCCATGATCTTCCTCTTTAACCAAGTCCTTGAAGTAGTATAAAAGCAGAAGCTCTGTGTTTATATTTAACTTCCACATGGGAAGTTCTGAGCCTGATTTGTATATGTAAGACTTCTTTGTTAGTAACTTTCCTATTTTTCCTTCAGATCCTATCCCTGGAGGCTGTAATTTGGAGTTTGATTTAGACATTGATCCCAACATTTACTTGGAGTATAATTTCTTTGAAACGACTATTGAGTTTGCCCCTGCAAACCTAGGCTATGCAAGGTATGACCATCTCTGTCTCCTAAAACTGCTTTTAGAATAGTCATGACTGAATTTTGTGTAAATTTAGCAAACTTTCTGAGATCCGTAGTTCTCTGTAGTGAAATTGAATTGTTTATTTTTTGGGGGAAGGAAATTGTTGTAATTTAAACTTTATTACTAATATTTCAACTGTTTTTTTTTTTTTTTTTTGGTACTAGGGGTTGAACTCAAGTACTCAACCACTAAGCCATATCCCCAGCCCTATTTTGTATTTTATTTATAGACAGGGTCTCACTGAGTTGCTTAGTACCTCGAAGTTACTGAGTTGCTTAGTGCCTCGCAGTTGCTGAGTCTGGCTTTTAACTCACGATTCTCCTGCCTCAGCCTCCCAAGCCACTGTGCCTGGTTTGAACTGTCATTTGTAATTAATGTAATTGCCCCTTCATTCTTTATTTGAAAAAGCCAGACGTGTCTATTGTGAATTTGGAAGTGCATCTTAATTTTTATAATGCATTTTAATATAGAAAGTCTTCTGTAGCTCTGAAATATCCTTTTATAAGATTTTTTTAAAATTAAAACTCTGCCTCAGTTTCTTTCTTTCTTTCTTTTTTTGGTGCTGGGGGTTGAACCTAGGGGTGCTTTGTCACTAAGCTACATCCCTAGCCCCTTTTTTAATTTTGAGATAGGATCTCACTAAGTTTCTGAGGCTGGCTTCGAACTTGTGATCCTCCTGCCTCAGCCTCCTGAGTTGCTGGGATTACTGGCAATCACACTGTGCCTGGCCCTCAGTTTTTAAATTTCTATTTTAACAGCAACAATTCCATTGAAAAACATTAGAATTCTCTATGTGGCACTCAGCACTGTGCATCATATGTCGTACTGAGTGCTACATGTTCTTTATCCTTTAATCCAAATATCTCATGAAGAAGGGGCGATTGCTCTTGTTTTACAGAGAGGTTTTTCTAAGGGTCATTGAGGTTCATTGATGTGCCCACAGGCACACCAGATGGCACAGCTGGCAGTTCACTATAATCCTGACATTAGAATTTGGTTATTTAACTGCACTCACCTCTTGGTGTGTCTTCGGGTGAGCTGTTATAACAAAGCACAGATTAAGTATTCCTTCTCTGAAATACTTGAGATCACAAGGATTTCAGATGATGGAAGTTTTTTTGGATTTGGGAATATGTGCATAGGTTTTACTGGTTGGGAACTTTTCGTCTGAAAATCAAAATCTGAAGTGTTTTGAGCATTATATCTGTGCTCAAGAAATTCCAGATTTCAGAACATTTTGGATTTTGGAGTTTTGGATTAAGGATGATCAACTTGTACTGTAGACTGGATAAAGAATGGACATTTATTTCTCTCAGTTTTAGAAGCTAGCAGTCCAAAATTAAGGTGCCAGAACGGTTGGGAGCAAGCCCTCTTCTAGTTGCAGTATCCTTAACAAGACACAAAGTGCTAGAGAGCTCTCTGGGGTCTCTTATAAGGGCAGTAATCCCACTTAGGAGAGCTCCACCCTCATGACCTAATTATCTCTCAAAGACCCACCTTCTAGTACCATTATATGAGGGGCTAGGACTTCAACATGAATTTTTTGGGTAACAGCAACATTCAGTTCATAAGAGCATGTTACTTTTCTCCGGAATACCAATTATGCCATTGCAAAAGGTGAACTGTTATATTTGAATTGTTGCAGAAGTTTGAAATTAGAGCTTTTGGTTCCTTTTTGTAGATGGGGCTTGCACCACACGAGATTGATGTTCAGTTTTGTTGGTTGACTTTAGAGGTGCAGATCCTCCGCCATGTGATGTGGGAACAGGCCGGGACTTTAGGTGGAGGTTGCAGTATGATGTGTATCAGTATTTCCTGCCTGAGAATGACCTCACTGAGGACGTGTTGCTCCAGCACATGCAGAGGATGGTCCAGGTGCCTGAGGTGAAGGCCAATGCTGTCAAGGTAAATCTGTTTCTCATGGTCGTGTGGCTATTGTGACACTGTTGAAAAAGTTGAGGGGAGAACCTACCAGGACCTTATTGCTTTACTGTTTTCTTGATTTTTTTGGGGGGGGGATAACCACTTTATTCCCTTTTATTTTGTTATCAAACGGGGAGCTATTGCTAGTGATAGGCCAGAATGATGTTACCCTTTGGAGAGATACAGATATATTATATTGAATTTAGGCTGCAGCTACATCTGTGACTAATGATCTTGAGATACAGAGGGAAGTTGAAGTGATTTTCTGTGTAACTTCCGTAACTATTGGCTTAATAGTTTTGGCAAGTATGAAGGTTGTAGTGTCTAAATAATAATGAGAAATTGCACATCGGTATTAATATTTGAACCAAACTCAAAGTCTAACTTGGAGCAAAAGTTTTCTCTGAGCTTTTGAATCCCTGTAAACCCTGGCTACTCCAGGTGTGGACCACAGACCCACAACATTGGCATCATTTGGGAGTTTGTTAGAATTGCAGATTCTTCTTAGGCTTCACTCTGGAACTACTGAATTGGAATTTGTGTTTTATAATCCCCCAGGTAATTCTTGTGTATATTAGAATTTGAGACTTAATGATTTAGATTCCTTTTGTGGAGGCCAGGATTTTAACTTCATATCTTGCAAGGTACTTGATAGCAGTATGTCATATGAGGTTCTCCTTCAGTCATGGTTGGTGGGTGAGGTTTTTTTAGACTGATTGCTATGATTCTTCCTAGAAGGTTAATAGATCACCAGGTTATGTAGAAAGAAGGGATTAAAATGGCGTATTATGATCAGCCTGTAGGCATAGCCTATTGAAGAATAAGGTCTTACTTTGTATGTGTGTCACCTGGGATGTCATTGCACAATTCTGAGGAGCCTTAATACAAAAAAACTCATCATGCTTACTCACAAATTAAGAAGTACTGTTCATTCCATTTGATTCTCTTGTTTATAGGAAATATAAAGGTTAAAAGAACCAATTAGACCTTGAGCACAATCTGACAAAGCCAGATTGTGGTGTATTCTGTAAAACTACTGACTTAATCTCTTTAAAAATCATTGAGTGGTGGGTAGGTTGGAGAGGGTGGTGGGAAGGACTATTCTAGATTACTGAGATTAGAGATGCAAAACAGATGCTAAACTTGAATGTTGGGTAAGAAGGAAAAAAGCTATAGAAGACATTAAGGGAAAAAATGGATCTGTATTAGATAATGAGAAATTATTAATTTTCTTAGGTGAGACTGGCATTGTGGTTAGATTGGAGAATGTTCTTAGTACCTTGCTACTCAGAATGTGGTAGATGCGTGTAGAGTATTGTCAACACCTAAAAGATTGTTAGAAAAGCAACAAAAACCACCTCTGACTGACAGAATCAGTCATTTTACTAGATTCCCTTAGTGATTCAAGGGACATGATGTTTGAGAAATACTCTTTTAGGAGTATTTAGAAATATTTAGAAGTAAAATGTCATGATATCTATAATAGTTCTGCAAGAAAAAAATTGAAGGAGCAAGGAATAGAAAAGAAAATATGGTAAAATATTGACAATTATGTGGTATAGAGTTTATTGTATTATTAACATTTTTGTGTAGTTTAGATTTTGCATGATAAAAACTTGGAAATGTAGGTGATAAGATTAATATTTTGTTAAACTTGACTAATCTTTTGCCCAGAGAGCATGTATTTTAAAGGCTGAGCCATAATTTTAAAAAGTGGTACCCTTCTAGAAGGCTTGTGACTGTTTCTTTGGAAACTCAAATATTTAATTTCTTCATTTACACTAGTTATAGTTCTATGTATTATCGTTACGTTGAGCTCGGTATGGTTATATTGAGCATACACTTGTTGAAGATTTGGTAATAGCGATTGGGCTGAGTACTAAAGAAAGAGTAGTGAGCAAATTAACTATGATTTTTGCCCTTGTTTTAGTTATTTAAACTAAAACAAATGCCCAGGTGCAGTGGTGCATGCCGTAATTCCAGCAACTTGTAGGCTGAGGCAGGAATATTCTGAGTTCAAGCCAGCTTCAGCAACTTAGCGAGACCCTATTTCAAAATAAAAAATGAAAGGTGGGAGTTCATAACCCACTTGAATCAAAGTGTGGAATATGATATGTCAAGAAATTTGTAATGTTTTGAACAACCCACAATAAAAAATTAAAAAAAAAATAAATAAAATAAAAAATGAAAAGGGAAAGGGATGTAGCTCTGTGGTTTAGCATGCCTGGGTTCAATCCCTGCTACCAAAAAAAAAAAAAAAAAAAAGAAAAGAAAGAAAAAAACCTACCAAATTTTTTACTTTGTACTAACTAGCATTTGCACACTGTTTTTATTAGGTTTATAATTAGATTTTATTTGTATTAGGTTAATATATAGATGTTAGACTTTATTTATATTAGATATTAATGTCATTTAACATATTAAATTAAAACTTTGGAGGCATTTTGTGTAAGAACTGTTTATATTAGAACATACAAACCATGTAGGCTGGTCTTTTGACAAAGCTAAATGGGTTGGTGTAATTTTTGCTTTTAAACAGAATTGCAATTTGGTATATGTAGGTGGTATTTTTAATAGAATAGCTTTAAAAAAAAAAGTCTAAACACTAATTGTGCATTATTTTTGGCTCTAGCTGGTGACTCTAACAGCTGATGATAAGACAAGAGTTTCCTTCTCCTCCCTGCGGGGTCAAGGAGTTATTTATAATGTCATCGTTCGGGATCCATTCCTGAATACATCTGCTGCTTATGTTCCTGCTCACACATACGCTTGCAGCTTTGAGGCAGTGGAGGGTAATTGTGCTTCCCTTGGTGAGTGTATGGATTTAAACTTTGACAGATTTTTCTTTGACTTTGCAGATCTGTTTCCACAGATATAGAACTTTAGAATATTAAAAAATGCTTTTTGTTCATTCAGCAAATGGGGTTTGAGCCCTTTCGTTTTTCTACTCTCTGTTCTAGGCACTAGAATATAGCAGTGAACAAACCAGACAAAATAAAAATACTTACATATGTACACACACACATATATATATATCATCTTGCTTATATATCATATATATTTAGTGGGAGATTCAAGACAAGATAAATTTGTAAAGTATATAATACATGAGAAAGTACTAAGAAGAAAAATAAAATTGGAAAGGGCCACATTGGTAGAGGTGAGAAGAAAATCTGAGATAGTACAATATGGGAAGGCCTTGGAGGCAGGAAGCCATGTGCATATCGGGGGACAGAGCCTTCCAGGTAGAGGGAATCGCCAGTACCAAAGTCTCTTCCAGAAGACTGCCTGAAGAAAGGCAGTGTGAACAGTGGTGGGAAAAGAATGAGGAGGGCACAGTAGAGATGCAGGGCTGGTAGTGTGCCCTCGCAGGTCGTAGTAGATATATTATATCAGAAGGAAATGGAAAGACATTGGGAGGTTTTGAGCAGATAGCGCCACCATCTGACTTTAATGTGATTGCTGGCTCCTTTTGGAGAAAAGACAGGGGCAAGAGCAGAAGTAGTAGAATGAGTTAGGAGGCCATGGAAGTCATCCAGATGAGGGATGGTAGCTTAAGGAGAGTTGTGGCAGTGAAGGTGTGTGGGACCAGCACGTATGTGTCATCTTGAAACACTTTCTTAGAAAAGGTGCACAGATGCTATAATTTTTGCATAATCTTCACCCTGATTTCTCAAACATTAGTTTCCATGTTGTTCTATTTGCTTCATCCTGTCTTCCTATAAAAACATACATATGTGTATATTGAATACTTTTCTGAACCATTTGAGAATAAGTTGCAGATAGAAAGATCTTGTACCCCTAATTACACAGAATTAGTACTGATACAATACAGTTATTTAATCTCTAGATATTATCAAATTTTACTCATTATCCACTAATGTCCTTTAAAAGACACAAAGTAATTTTTTTCCTGCCCAAAGTCCAGTTCATGACACCACATTGCTAATTTCCATGTCTCCTTAGCCTTCTGTAATCTGGAGCAATTTCTTAGTCTATTTTTGTCTTTGAGGACTTGGACCTTTTTTGAAGAGTACAGGATGTTTAGTTTTTAGAAAGTCCTCAGTCTTAGTTACTTTGATGCTTCTTCATGATTACATTCAGATTATGCATATCTGGCAGAAAGAAAGAGGAAGTGATGTGTCCTTTTCTCTTCATATCTGTCCCATTAATGGTGATAACTTGATTACTTGGTTAGTGACCTCTGCCAGTCTTCTCTGCCATAAAGTCACTGTTTTTACCTAAAATATCTTTTGGGGGAGATATTTTTAGTGTTTGTAAATAATCTCATTCTCAAACTCACACTTGCTAGTTTTAGCATCCAGTGGTCTTTGCCTGAAACATTTATTACTAGTCGTTGCCAAATGGCATTTTCCTAATTTCAGTCCAGATTGTCCCAGATTTAACCAATGAGTGGCTGAATGTATTTTTGATATAGGGTTTGATGATGGATTGATTGAGTGGAAGAAAGTGGGGTTAAGGATGACTTCTTAGTTTTTGGCCTAAGTAATTAGAGAAGGCAAACTGCCATTCACTGTGGTGGGAAAGATTGGGAGTGGTCTTGGGAGAATATACCCAGAATTCAGTTTTGGACATGTGCAGTTTGAGAACACTCTTAACTATTCAAGTGGAGTTGGGCAGCTGACCGTTGGCTATATGTAGCAGTTGGAATTCAGGGGAGGGCTGGGCTAGAGATTGTCTTGGAAATTATCAGGTTAACTATATGGCGTTTAAGACCATAGAATGGATGAGTGAGTATATAGAAAAGGGAAGGGTCTGAGGACTGAGCCCTGGTGGCACAGATATGGAGATGAAGAAATTGAAGAAAATCCTGGTGAGGTGGCTGAGAAGGAGCAGCAGGAGTGGTGGTAAATGGAAAGTGATATATTTTTTAAAAAAATTATATATAAAATCTTTTGTTGTTGTTTGTTTATTTTTTATGTGGTAATGGGGATTGAATACAGGACCTCATGCATGCGAGGCAAGTGCTTCACCACTGAGCTATCTCCCCAGCCCTGATTTTTGTTTTTATTTAATTAATTTTTGTGGTGCTAAGAATTGAACCCAGGGATTTGGGTCAGTGATCTATTACTGAGTTATACCCACAGCCCAAAGAGAATGTAATGGTTTTTGTTTTGTTGTTGGTGTTTTGCAACTGAGGGTTGAACCCAGGGACAGTACTATTGAGCTACATCCCTAGCCCTTTTTTTGTTTTGATTTTGAGACAGGGTCTTGCTAAGTTGCTGAGGCTGATCTCCACCTTGTGATCCTCCTGCCCCAGCATCCCAAGTTGCTGGGATTACAGGCATGTCCCACTGTGCCTGGCTGTTTTCTGAAGGTGGCAGGAGAAAGAGTTTCAAGGAAGAGAGAGCAATCAACTGTCAGATGCTGAGGAGAGGTCAGCTAACAGGCTGAAAATGACCACTGGCTTCAGCAACAAGGAGGACATTGGTGCCTCTGAGAGCTGTTCCAGTGGAGTGCGATAGCTGGAATATGTTCAAGAGCAAAGGGGATGGGAATTGGAGAATGAGTTCAAATAGTTCTTTCAAGGAGTTTTGCTTTGAAGAATGAAGTCTACGAGTTGTGCTTGAGACAGGGATTAGGGTTCCCTTTGTTTGTTGGAGCTGTATCCTTCTGTTAAAGGAGGAAAAAATTTAGTGACATTCATGAAAGCACAGAGAAGAGGAGGGTATTTTAGTCGGTATAGGGACCATTACAATGGGATTTTGCAGTGGGTACGGGGAGAGTAGGTTCAGCTCTGAATACAGCATGGGCAAGTGGGAATATATAGCCAAAGAGCAGGTGGCTGGGGTGGGTGTGGTCAGTGAATGAAATGTTACTAAGAGAGAATATGAGAGGTAAAAGGAATTCTGTCTAACTGACCTAAGAGGGTTCTTGCTGAAGGCACTGCAGAGTGATGAGACATCACCTGGGGGATGGTGGAAGATGAGGAACCTGATCAGATATTGAGGGCGATCAGATAACAAATGGTGGTGGTGGGGACCTGGTTCTTGCTAATCTGATTCATTAGAGTTTTTGCTGAAATTTAATTTTACAAGGAAGGTATTTTACTTCGGGCCTATGAGAAAGTTCAGGAGCCCAATTAAAGGGTGGTATCACCACTCAGTTTTTTACTGATGCTCATCCTTGAAAGAGAAAATGCAAGAGATCCAGGCAGATGTGTGTTTGCATTTTTCACAGTGAATCATGTCTAGGTTCCTCTATTCTTTTCTCTTGAGCCTTTCACATCCATGCCCCTCCTGGTCAGCCTATCTCAAAACAAACAATTAAAAGGGCTTGAGGAGGGCTGGGGTTGTGGCTCAGTGGTAGAGTGCTCGCCTAGTATGCACAAGGCACTGGGTTCGATCCTCAGGACCACATAAATATAAAATAAAGATATTGTTGTCAACCTAAAACTAAAAAATGAAAAAAAAAAGGGCTTGGGAATGTAGCTCAGAGGTGAAGTGTCCCTGGGTTCAGTTCCCTGGGTTCACTCCCCAGCATTCAAAAAGAAGAAAGGGTCTCAGTAAATTGCTCAGGGCCTTGCTAAGTTGCTGAGGCTGGCCTGGAACTTGTGATCCTCCTGCATCAGCCTCCTGAGTTGCTGGGATTACAGGCCTGAGCCTCCATGCCTGGCTTGGTGTGTTTTGATTTGTGGCAGGCTTGTAACATTTTTTTATATGAGATTATTACATAGAGGTTTTGTTTTCATTGTTACTTCAGGGATTACTTTCTTGTGTTTACCTTGAAGGAGTAATGATGATGGGGAGTTTTTTTTTCTTTTTGGTATCTGGGATTTAACCCAGGGGTGTGCTTAACCATTGAATCATTTTTCCAGCCCTTTTTATTTTGAGATAGGGTCTTGCTAAGTTGCTTAGGGCCTTGCTGAGTTGCTGAGGCTGACTTTGAACTCACTATCCTCCTGCTTCAGACTCCAGAGATGCTGGAATTATAGTCGTGCACCACCATGCCCAGTGATGATGGGGAATTTTGTGAGCACATATTTCTCTTAAATAAGCTAAATCTTTTGCATTGTTATGGCATTCATATTTACGTTTGTACCTACTAAGGATCATGAGATTTAGAGATTCTTTGACAACATGAAGCATATTGTGATTTATTGTTGCCTTTAATGTAATATTTTTTCCCCAAGATTGGAAGTGATTAGTACATGTGTGTGTGATTTGTAGTATCATTAATGTTCTCCTTTTTTAAAATGTATTATTTTAGTTGTAGTTAGGCACAATACCATTATTTAATTAATTAATTTATTTTTATGTGGTGCTGAGGATTAAACCCAGGGCCTCGTATGTGCTAGGTAAACACTCTACCACTGAGCCACAATCCCAGCCCGCATTAATGTTTTCTTAATGTGAGTTTATGTTTAAGTTTTTCATTTTGGAAAACTTCAGTGAGCTTTCATGTATCAATTATTGAGCATAAACAATTTTGACTTGAGGCCATTGTCATGTTTCAGCTGTATTCCTGCTTTCTTCTGTCTCTCTCCTTGCAGTGCTGGGGATTGAACCCAGGAACACTCTTCCACTGAGCTACATCCCAAGCCCTTTATATTATTTATTTTGAGATAGGATCTCACTCACTTGTGGAGGCTGTTCTTGAACTTTTGATCCTCCTGCCTCAGCCTCCTGAGTATCTACGAATATATGCATGTGCCACCATTCCCATTTTCTGTTTATCCTTTATCACTGAATTATTTTAAAGTAAACTCCTAGACACCATTTAACTCACAAATCTCTCTCAGTATCTATTATTATTTTCTAAAATAGCACCACCATGGATAAGTGTTGTTTAAAAAAAAACAATAAAACCATAGGAGCCAGGCATGGTAGTTCATGCCTATAATTCCCAGTGACTCTGGAGGCCGAGGCAGGAGGATCACAATTTCAAGACCAACTTGAGCAATTTACCAAGACCCTGTCTCAAAACAAAAAGGGCTGGGCTCAGTGGTAGGGCATCCCCTGGGTTCAATCCTCAGTACCACATACATAAATATAACCATAGTATCATATCACAATTTTCTTTCTTTCTTTTTTTTTTTTTTTTTTTTTGTGGTGCTGGGGATTGAACCCAGGGCCTTAGCAAGCACTCTACCATCTGAGCTATATTCTCAGCCCCAACACAATTTTCAATTTAAATACTAAAAATAATCTTTAATAGCATCAAATTAACATTCAGAGTTTATATTTCCCCAATAGTATTCCAGTTGTCTTCCACAGGTTAATTCAAACCAGGCTTCATATGTACACTGTATTTAGTTGATGTATCTCATAAATCTTTTTTACTCCATAGTCGTACCCCCCTTTTTCCTTTTAACTATTTATTGAATAGTTATTTTAACACACTCTTACTGCTTACCCTACTACAAAGAATATGTCATAGTTAATATTGTATACCTCTATAAGCAAGCATGTAGTCTTCTTTTTTGTCATAGAAGCAAATCAATATCATAGTTATTGATATTGATATTGCCTACATAGATTTAAGTCATTAAGGGTGGGAAGGATATTTTTAAGATAAATTATACATGTATGAGATAAATCCTTGTCAGTTCACTTCAGTTTTTTTCATAGAGCTTTACTAATTAAACATAGAATATTAAATTGCAATGTGTTATCTACTAAATTTTCATTTTTTTTTTTTTCTTCAGGAAGAGTATCTACCAAAGTGTTCTTTACTCTTTTTGCAATGCTTGGTCTCTTCATTTGTTTCTTTGGACACAGATTCTGGAAAACAGGTATCTTGACCAGTGTAGATACTACTTATGTTCTTTATTGTCTTTGGTTTTCCATGTTGCTGGGGAATTATGAACAGTAAGGAGTGTGAGCACGTCTCTCCACTGTTCTCATAGGTTTGTGGCTGGGTTCTTTTGATGCTTCTATTAAGTTGCTCTGCATTTTTTAAATTTTATTTTTGTAATTCTGAGGACTGAACCCAGATCCTTGCTCAGGCTAGCAAGAACACCACTGAGTTACATTGCCGGTCCTGCATTTTAATGTTTTCCTTTTCTCTCAAAAGTGGAGTACAACCTCCTCTTCATAAGAGAATAAAGTTTGGCTTGTCTGGAAAACTTTATTTGCTAGGTCTGCTAGTGACTAAAAATAACTGGGATTAGAAATGAGAGTGTCTGCCTAGTCTGTGTGGATTGTGGTGATGGTGATGGACTTCCTGGACTCCAGGGCTACCAAATAGAGAAAGGCAAAATGCCTGCTCAGTCCTGGGAGGTTTAGCTGCCCAGAGGAGTTTCAGAAATCACAGAGAGAAACTGTGTGGGAATGGAATGGAAATTATGCTTACTGAATTGGTTTCAGTTCTTTGGATTGCATTTTAGGTAACATTTTCAATTGCCTAAAAAAATTCTTACCAGCAAGCTGATCACTGAGCTTCATGGGTAGAGTGAACACATGATCCTGGTCTAATGAAGCTCTTGAATTTGCTTTGATAGTGTTTGAAATAGCAACTGTTTTGCAACACTTTTTTCTTGTTGTATAAGAGTATTATGAGGAAGACTCAATCCCTCAAACTGTAGAATGATTCTGTGACAAAGAATTAATTGCTAGACTGTGGGCAAAATCCCAAAGATATTACCAGGGTTTTTTTTTCTTCCCCCCTTTTATGTTGCTACTTATCATGTTATACATATTAAAATTAAAATACAGGAAAAATATTACCAATAACAACTGAGAAGAATATGAGAAAATAGAGCTCCATCTTCAATCAGGATTAGACTTACTGGTGGGAAACAAAGTTATATCTATGGTTTTATTTTCAGGTATTTTAGTGGATCAAGGTAAGATGATTTAGGGCTGGGGATGTGGCTCAAGCGGTAGCGCGCTCGCCTGGCATGCATGTGGCCCGGGTTCGATCCTCAGCACCACATACAAACAAAGATGTTGTGTCCGCCGAAAACTAAAAAATAAATATTAAAAATTTAAAAAAAAAAAAAAAAAAAGGTAAGATGATTTAAAAAAATAGTAAAGTCACATTTTCTGTTGGAATACTTTATTTTTCACATATAATTAATTTTTCACATAATATCATTTTTTGCTTATATAACTGCTGAAATTTAGTATGTAATTTCAGATTAGAAACAGATGACAAAAGTGCTCTTAAGTAGAAAATACAAATGTATTAAAATGAACTATGAAATTGGCCATAATAATTGAAATTGACTTACATATATAAAAGGGTGTTTGGTAGTTAATATCATACTTTAAATATTTATCCATTTAATAATAAAACTACTCCCGGTGACTTCTCAATTTCTCCTGCCTTTTAGATAATTACTTTTCTTCTTCAAATGCCATAATGTGTGACTATTCTAGGAGTGTAAGCATGTATTGGTAGATCAGATATTTGAATTGCATTGTAAAAAGAGGACCTAACCATAGCTTGTTTTTTTTTTTTTGTTGCCTGCTGGTTTGCTACTAGAATTATTCTTCATAGGCTTTATCTTCATGGGATTCTTCTTTTATATATTAGTCACAAGGCTGACACCTGTTAAGTATGACGGTAAGTGAAAATGATGGTTTAATTGGGTGTTCAAAATGGAAATTGCTGAACTGGGCACAATGGTGCACACCTGTAATCCCAGCTACTCGGCGGGTGCTGAGGCAGTAGGATTGCAAGTTCAAGGCCAACCTCAGCAACTTAGCTAGTTTCTGTCCCCAAAATAAAAAAAAATATAAAGGACTGGGGATGTAGCCCAGTAGATGGTCCCTGGGTTGAGTCCCCAGTACTGTAGGGGGTGGAGGGAGAGAAACTGCTGTGTTGACACTTCACTTTTCCTTCTGAGGTTGGACTTGTGTGTGATGTCCCCTTGCATAGGTGAAGTAATCAGCCTGCCATGCACCAAGTATCTCACTACTCAATCAGGCCTTCTCTTCAGGTTTTTAATCTGCATGGCAAATTTCTTGGGACTTAGGAAATGAAAGGCCATTTTGATTATAAACTTTAAGATACAAAATGTACAACATCAAAATGATAAAATTTTCCTTACCTTAAAGTAAACATTCTTCACCACCCCATCACATTTAACAAAATACTTGTCACCTTCCTCAGTCTGAACTCAATGACAAGCCAAGCCTGTCACCTGCCTTTGGGGGTTAGCATGGTGGTTAGACCCCTCCCTGGAGAGGCCTGCTCCATGCTGGTGTCATGGCACTGCTAAAGGGTCAGTGGGGCCTGACCCAGGGAAGGCCGAGGCTGGCTCTGATAATGCTACTGTGTCTGAGGCATGTGGTTGGAAGTGCTCTTCCTGATTAAACAGTGCATCTTCTTCCTCTGTACAGTTCGCCTGATCCTAACAGCTGTAGCTGGAACCATTGGTGGGATTCTCTTGGTGGCTACATGGTGGCGATTTGGAGTCCTCCCGCTGTGCATGCTGTGTGTTGGACTGGTGCTGGGGTTCCTCACTGCCTCAGTGACTTTCTTCACTCCGCTGGGTAGGAGATGTGTGGCTGATGTTCTGTGTATTTGGTTCATTGTTTGGAAGACTTTAATTGGGCTCTCTAGACTCAAATATTGCCTTGTCAGGAATTTGGATCCTGGAGTGGTGCTGCCTTTCTCCACTTTTCTTTGAAGAGTTGTGGGAATTTGCACAGATGATGTGGCTCTTTTAGAGAAGGCCTACACAAATAACAATTCCTACTTTCACTGGGCGTGGTAGCATGCGCCTGTAATCCCAGAGACTTTGGAAGCTAAGGTAGGAGGATCATAAGTTCAAAGCCAGCCTCAACGACTTAGTGAGATGCTGAGGAACTTAGATCCTGTCTCAAAATTAAAAAAAAAAAAAAAAAAAGAAAGAAAAAAAGAAAAACTACTTTCTTAGAGGCACTCTGTACTGGGCGTATCATAGAATGTCTGTAGAGGTGGCTTTGTGCCTGTATATTTCTGTGAGAATAAGTGGAGCCAAAGAGGACTCTTATTATGGCAGAACAGTGATTTATTTTTTTAATCTGGGAACTCTTTCTATAGTAAATCCTAAGCAGAAGCCCAATATATCTCCCATATAAATTGGCAGTGCTGTGATGGCAGCTGAGCTGGGGAACCTGACACTGTATCCTCAGCCTTCCCAGGGACCCTCCACCTCCACTCTTGCCTTTTGCTAAGCCCCAAGTGTTCTTAAGGTAACTGCTGGTAATCACCCTAGAGCAGTAGCCCAAGGATAATTCTGGAATTTTAATTTAATTTCTATTAATTTAAAAAATCCAAATAACATGTGAGTTAACATTCTTAGCTTGTACAGTGACTTACAAAATGCGAAGAGAAGAATACATTCAAAGATACTCTATTAGGCTGTTTCCTTTCTGTGATAATTTTAGTTCTTACATTAATATTAAAATTGATGGAAATGTTAGATTAACAATAACAGTTTCCTGGGGCTGGGGATGTGGCTCAAGTGGTAGCGCGCTCGCCTGGTATGCGTGCGGCCCGGGTTCGATCCTCAGCACCACATACAAACAAAGATGTTGTGTCCGCCGAAAACTGAAAAATAAATATTAAAAAAAAAAAAAAAAAAAACAATAACAGTTTCCTGAGGCTGACACCTCTTAAGAACACACAATATAATATAAGAGGTGTTCAGTACAAGTCAGTGTCCCTGGGCTCACTAAAGATTATTTTTTAAGACCAGAGAGAATTGACAACCTGTGTGTTTCCTGACTGTCCAAGGCCTTTTGTCCTGACTTTAGCAAACCTATAGCCCAGTACATTCCTACTGGCCCCTTACAGGTGGCTTTTTGTTTAGAAAGTCTGGTGAAAAGTAGTTGTGTTTAAGCTTGGCTGAATGACAGATTCTTAGGGGGAGGTATGTGTTGAAATTGTAGATCCGAGGCCCTCCCCAGATGGGCTACATCAAATACCATGTACTGGGGTTTCCCCCTAAAGGATGAGGGACTGTAAGTTAGAATTTTTAGTAGTTAGTGTGCTTTTGACGAGTAGAATGAGCCTAAGTTTGGAAATCAGGAAAAAAAAAATGTAATATGCATTCTGGCTGTCCCTTGTGCCCTGCCTGGCTTTTAACTTTGGACAGGGCATTGACTGCAGCTCTGTTTCATCATCTGTAAAACTTTAGTAGGATAGAAGTGATGAGATAATAAAGACTTCATTTTCATCTTTATAAAAGTAGTCTAGAGGGGGCTGGGGTTGTGGCTTAGCAGTAGAGCACTTGCCTAGCATGTGCAAGGCGCTGGGTTTGATCCTTAGCATCACAAAAAAATAAATAAAATAAAGGTATTTTAAAAAAAAAAAGTAGCCTAGAGCAATTGTCTCTAAACTTTTTTATGAACTATTTCTATTGGTGAAAATAATTTTAGCATATACAATATACATATATATGTATATATATTTATTTATGAACTATCTCATAGCTCAAGAACAGTTAGAGTGAGCATTTCTTTATTGGCAGTGGATGCAAACTCATACTTTTGCAATGTAATTTGTAAAATATTTAGCTGACCTCTCTGATCTGATTAGATTACTATTTTCATGTTATGTGGGTAGCAAAGAGGTCATTCTCTGAAAAGGTCCATTCTTCACCTGTGTGTATAATAACTCTATTCAATCCTTGGCAAACTTTAAAAAAAAAGCCATTGGTTAATGTAGTTGAACTTAAGAATATAATCCATAAATTCACTTCATTGTAGCATGTTGCAGTTGGCTTTAAGACAATATGGAGTCCCAAGGTCAGAGCCTCTGCTCAAGACATATAGGTCTCAAGCTATAGCACCATGTATAGACAAATGACGTGCCAGCATCATAATAAATCATCAGACCTTTTTTTTTTCTTTTGGGATGGGGTCTTGCTATGTTGCCCAGGCTGGCCCTAAACTCAAGTGGTTCTTCTGCTGCAGCCTTCCCAGCAGCTGAGACTGTAGGTATATATCATCACACCCTGCTTTTGCTTTTAAAACTCACTTTATAAAGAGTTTGCATGTGTTGGTTATGCGTCACCCTAAGCTGTGCCACATATTGGAGTCATGTGACAGGAAAAGGGTTTGGTAGGAGCAAAGAATGGTTAGCTTTGGTTCCTGATTTCCTCCAGTATGCAGTGGTGTATCAGGATATGGGTTGATGATAAAATCTAAAGAGCATTTTGCAGCTTGTATTGTGTTGGTTCATAACTTTGAATCTTTTTTTACTTGTCTCCCCACACCAGTACAAAACAGGAAACATAGAACTTATTAGATATAGAAGGGGTGATTGAGAGTGTAGAGATAATTCAGTCTTTTTATGGGTTAGGAAGCTGAGGTCCAGAGCTGCAGTGCTAGTGAATGGAATAGCTGGAACTGTTGTAGCCTCTTCTAAAATTATCCTGCTACTACATGAAGAGCATTTACCTTTATCATCTCCCCTCCCCTTCTAGACCACCTTTCAAAGGGGATTATATTGACAGAAATGAAGAATATCAGTTCATTTCTAGTTGCCAACATATTCCCTGGTTGTTGCTTTAAGCCTTCAGTATATGTCTGTGTTCTCATAATGAGAAAATTTAAGTTGGGAAACCTCTTGTTTACTCTTGATTTCTCTTTGCTTTTTCAGGAAACATAAAAGTTTTTCGTGACGATGGTGTGTTCTGGGTGACCTTCTCTTGTATAGCTGTCCTCATTCCAGTAGTTTTCATGGGCTGCCTAAGAATAGTAAGTGTTTCGTCACAAGTTAGATGTATTCATTATATGTCCCGGGCTTTCAGCTGATCACTGATTGCATGTTTTTATTCACTAGGGAGGGCTGTATGATTATCTGCTTCTAAATAGTCTTATTACTAGGAAAGCAAAGGAAATTCTATGTATGATTATCACATGGTATTCTTTTGTTTTAATCAAATGGAGCATCATCTGTCAATATATTTCAGCAGTTGGAACAGAGAAGGTAGTCTTAGGTCTAGCTGTTTTCATTTAATTATATGTTGGTGTTGAAGTTCTTTCACAGGGAAGATTATTTTCTTTCTTTCTTCTTAATATTTATTTTTTAGATGTAGTTGGACACAATACCTTTATTTTATTTACTTTTATGTGGTGCTGAGAATCGAACCCAGGGCCTCACATGTGCTAGGTGAGTGCTCTACTGCTGAGCCACAACCCAAGCCCAGGGAAGTTTATTTTCTGTGTGCAGTCATGCATTGCTTAATAATAAAGCCACATTCTGAGAACTGCATCCTTGGGTGATTTTGTCATAGTGCAAAATCATAGAGTGGACTTATACGACTAAGAGAGTGTCAGTAGGTGATATAATCTTGTGGGACTGCTGTTGTATATGCAGTCTGTCTTTATGTGGCACATGGCTGTATTTTGATAAGCTCATCTTTTCAGGTAACATTTATTTCTTGGTCCTTTTTCATGTGCCTCTGTGATTGAGATGAGTAGTGAGAGTTAGAAGCTACTCTCATTCTACCAGGGATTATGCCTAAACTCTTCTACTCTTCCACAGCTGAACATCCTGTCTTGTGGCATTATTGGCTCCTACTCGGTGGTTTTGGCCATTGACAGTTACATGTACACAAGCCTTTCTTACATCACTTTGAATGTTCTCAGGAGAGCACTCCACACAGATTTCCACAGAGCTTTCACAAATGTGCCTTTTCAAAATAATGGTAAGATTCTTAAATACAAAACCTGGAGTGGTGGTCAAACAGGAGAGTGGAATGGGAAGGAAATGAGCAGCACCTAGTTTCCTTGATGAACATATGTGAAGTATAACTAAATCACTGCCTTTCCCCTCAGCCTCTTTCTGCCAAAAAATAAATAAATAAATAAATAAATAAATAAATATATATATATATATATATATATATATATATATATATATATATATATAAAATGGTGTGTGTGGGCATGGTTACTTAATGTTGGAATGCCAAGGATCCAAACAATTGGTTCTTTTCCAACCTGTTTGAACTTTTGGATGCCTTTAATAGAGAATTCCTAGTTTCAAAAATAAAGACAGCAGCTTCCCCACTCATTACTTAGATTGTGAGCAAAAGAAAGTACATGGGTAGACCAACTCACCACAAACTCTGATATTAGAAAGGAAAACCCAGACTTAGTCCATGAAGGATTATATGTTAGATTTTAAAATACAAGTGTTCAAATGGTGCTTCTCTACTGGTTTTTTTTTTTTTTTTTTTTTAGACTTCATTATTCTGGCAGTATGGGGTATGCTGGCTGTAAGTGGAATTACATTACAGATTCGAAGAGAAAGAGGGCGACCATTTTTCCCTCCCCACCCATACAAGATGTGGAAACAAGAGAGAGAGCGCAGAGTAACGAACATTCTGGATCCAAGCTACCATATTCCTCCACTGAGAGAGAGGCTCTATGGCCGGTTAACCCAGATAAAAGAGCTTTTCCAGGAGGAACAGCCGGCTGGAGAGAGGACGCCCCTCCTTCTATAGATGGCATGGGCTTAGTCAGTCTGCCTCAGCTCTGGAATTCATGTCCAGACTGCATCAGCCACCCCTGGTGCCCACCTAATATTGGATCGGCCCTGCATGAGATCATGGTGTCCTTTTTGACGTGTGGTAAGGGTACACTAGGGAGTTAGGATGATTCTAAGTGAGAGAATGAGAATCATAACTGAACAGTTGTGGTAGGGAGGCTTTTCCTTATTTTCCAATACTTGGGAAATTACTTTCTGGTTTATACATGTATGATCAACATATTCCATTTAAATAGGTTCATCAAAAAATATAAAAATAAAAAACAGTGATTCTTCTGAAAAGCCCTTGTGTTTCTTTTTATAACTCCTTGAATAATTTTCTCCCTTGAGTCTGTCTAAACTTGGGGAGGGGGAGTTATTTAAATATTCAATCTTTATTCACCCCTTTGTTTAAAGGTTTAGGGATCTGATACTGAGTTCCCAAATGTCAGAATATACAGAGAAGTAACTCATTTTCTTATTAAAAGCCATCTGACTACAAAGTTACATGTCTTTTTTTTTTTTTTAACCAAAAGGAACTTTTTCAATATTTAAAAGATTTTTAACTGTAAAATATACATAACATTTAACAACTTAAATTTTTAAGTGTATAATTCAGTAGTTTTCCTTTGTTTTTGACTTTTATTGCTTAAAATGGTAATTTAAAAAGCTAAATTATTTGTTATTTGAAAATCGGTCAATTTATATAGATAGTAGAATTTTTATGGATGATTTATCTAGATTCCAAAACATGGCCTTTTATTTTTCTTTCAAGGCTTTATAAAATAGTGTTGACAGCCAGGTATGGCGACACATGCCTGTAATCCCAGCAACTTGGGAGGCTGAGGCAGGAAGATTGCAAGTTTGAGGCCAGCCTCAGCAATTTAGCAAGATCCAGTCTCAAAAAGGGATGGAGTATATAGCTTAGTTTTGGTAAAGCACTCCTGGATTCAATCCCCAGTACCACAAAAAATAATTAAGTGGTGATCTTTATTTTAAGCTGCATTAGATGACATGGATCCCTTCCCACTCAAGGAAACACGTTGATCCCTCTGTTAATCTACAGTGACATTAACAACCTTAAAAAAATCTGCACTTAAGTTTTCCCTGCTAAAGTAGCTGTGTTAGCATTGGTGTAAAATAGTTTTAATAATTGTTTTTCTGTAATTAAAGCCTTTTCTGTGATCTGTGTTTTGAAGTGATGAGGCGAGAGTCAAAAAGGATTCAGGTATTCAATGAGCCAGCCTTTAATTAAGACCACCTTGGATTGTCTATAGAGGGCCCCTTCAGTTTCCATAACCTTGTTTCACCACAAGAAAGCACTTGGATCCCTGGGCTGCGCACCTCCCACTCAGGACCTTTCTTCTCGCCTGTCAGAGTGCTGGATTGTGAGCTGGTTTCTCTGACATGCCTGAGTGATGCTGAGGTCCACGGTGGCTGGGGCACACACATGTGTGTGGTAACCACTATTTAATTGATGTTACGTTTTAAGGTTTCTTCAAAGTACAAAAGATTATTGAAGCTTTGGGTAATTGGAAAAATCTTTTAACTGTTGCTTTTAAAAGTATTTTGGGAAGGATAAGAACAATGAACTAATAGAAAACAAACCATATTTGCTTTGAAAAATTTAATGTAGGTAATTTTTTACTGTTTGTAACTTCAGTAACACTTAAAAGACTTTTTATTCAAATTTAAAATAATTTACTGTAGGGACTCTGGCTTCTTCAATCTTTGTACATTCTAACAGTTAAATGGAATATTTGTGAGTTGTTCTTGGTACCCTTAGAATGCTCTGCTAGTCAAGACTATAAAAGGTGGAACACCTTTTTTTGGGGAACAAGGATACAAATTATTTAAAAACTTTCATGATAATTTGTAATAAAAAACCAGTTTGTATAGTTTTTATAATAAATATATCTATTTTGAAAAAAGTGCTAAAAAGCCTAGTTATTAAAATATAGTGTTGGTTTCATTAGTTCTTCAGGTATCAAATTGAAGAAAAAGTACTAGTGTTACAGGAAAACCTATTACACTATTAAAATATTTTCTGAACGTTCTGATCTGTTACAGGTTAGTTACCAGGTAGCCAAACCACACTAGCCAAATAGTACTTGTAGGCCAGTTGAATTTTCTGTAGAAGGTGATAGAAAACTGATCCCAACAAAGAATTTGCTAGAATACTATGCCTGGAAAGGACTTTAGAGATCATGTTATTTGTCCTTTTAATTTTATGCCTGAGGAAATTCTCAGACAACTGCCGAGATCAAAGTTGGGGATGCTCAATGCTCTATCCAAATGTGCTTTGTATTCTGTCATAAAGATGTAAGTCACTGATTATTTTCAATTTTCTTCTAATAAATTGGTAGGATATTCTCATGTTAATATTTATAACTCTGACATTTTTAGGAATTACTCATTTTACACAAGCATGTTTTTCCAAGTTAATGCTTTGTGGTTCCAGACCATGGTAGGTTTTTTGTTTGTTGTACCAGGGATTGAACCCAGGGACCCTTAATCACTGAGCCACATCCCCAGCCCTTTTTAATGTTATTTTTAAATTTCTAGACCGGGATCTCACTAAGTTGCATAGGGCCTTGCTAAATGCTGTGGCTGGCCTTGAATTTGCAATCCTCCTACCTCATCCTCCTGAGCTGCTGGATTATAGGCATGTACCATCACACCTGGACCACTTCTTTTTTTTTTTTTTTTAATTTCAAATGACTGGTATTTAATATTTCAGTATCCATAAATATCTGTACAGTAGCATTTGTTTAGAACTTTTTGTTTTAATGTTCTCTTTTTTTTTGATACCAGGAATTGAACCCAGGGGCACTCAACCACTAAGCCACATCCCCAGCCCTTTTTTGTATTTTTATTTAGAGACAGGGTCTCACCGAGTCACCTCCTGCCTCAACCTCCCAAGCTGCTGGGATTACAGGTCTGTGCTACCATCCCCAGTTTGAGGACGATGATGTTTATGATACCTTTTAGTAACCTTTAATAAAGCGCATAGTTCCTGGCTCTAATTTTTTGAGAACAGGGCCTTGCCCTGGAGCTTGGTCTTGCATTGTGCCTTAGCCCTTAATGGGATAGCAGCTTACCTGTGTTTTCCTTTTATGTTATGGACTAAACTGTGAACCCACCAAATTTATATTTTGAAGCTGTAGCTCCCAGTATCTCAGAATGTGACTGTATTCGGAGATAATGTTTTTAAAGAGATGATCAGATTAAATTGAGGCCATCAGTCCAATCTGACTAATAAGAGTAGGATATACAGAGAAACACCAGGGGCGCGGGTCAGAGGAAAGCCTATTTGAATAAGCAGCAAGAATTGTCATCTGCAAACACAGCAGAGGTCTTGGGAGAAACTAGTCCTTCTGGTACTTTGTTCACATACTTCTAGCTTCCAGAACTATGAGAAAATTTTGTTGTTTAAGCCATCCAGCCTGTGATATTGTTATGGCATTCCTGGCAATGGACTTTGCAAATCATTTTATTTCAATAATTGGTGGAAATGTTTCTTGACAATTTGGCATTGTATTTGCAAGGACCATTCTATGAAACTGACAATAAAGAGGAGCTCCAAGTTAATAAAACTTTTGATTTATCCAGGGAGTACTATGCAAACACTGGGGAGACTGGCAGATCTAGTTCAAGTGATGTCAAAATAAGAGGCAAAGAAAAAAAAAATAGTGGTCTTTGACTTGGTTACTTTTTTAAATACATATTTGGCAGTTTATGTGCCAAACACTGTCTTGGGGACTAGGAAGCTGATGGCAGATAGTATAGGCCTGCTCTTTGCTCTCAGGGTGTAGTGTAGTGAGGCAGGCAGATATCAAATAGGTATACAAAGAGGTACAATCAATATGCAATGAAAATTTCTGATGGGGTAGAAAAAGGCCTACCAGGGAATTTCCTGAGGAAGTGGTTTAAGCTGAGATTTGAAGGGTGAGTAGGAGAGTCTAAGCCAAAGTGGGGCAAAGTGTGTCCCATGTAGTAGAGGGGAAGCAAAGCCTCTAGGCCTCCCTTCTCATTATGGAGAGCCCTCAAGTGAACCTGTCCTTATATCCTTCATTCTGGTGGTTGGCGGGTTCAGCACTCAGTGTTCTGAGAAGGGTGCTATCAGTCTTGGTTAAATTTTAACTGCAACACAAAACTGCAGTGAATACCTTGCCTTTAATATTTATCTTGCTGCTTTAATTCCTCTCCAAACCGTAGAATTTGGCAGTTGTTCTCCAGGAGATGGGTCAGCACGTCTTCAAAGTAATTTTTCCTATTCAAGGCCTGTACACAACTATAATGGATCTGTCACTCCCAGGGTGAATACCTTCCCTTGCAAGATTACAGAGTGGCCAATTATGGGAATATTAAGGGGTGAAAGTCTTACTTTCTCACATGAAGTTCCTGGTTTCTGCTGACAGATTCCATTGCCCAGCTTGTTGTGTGCATGTATTCTGACCTGCCCAAACTCACAGTGGGCTGTTGAGAAGTTCATGGATGTCTGTGTCTGGGGCCTTTGAGCAGAGGGACAGAGATTAAAATGAAGAGCTTGAAGAAGCAAGTGAAATTATTATTAAACGTGCTTTTGCTCCCCAATTCTCTATGAATTGTTTTCAGCAATTCAATCAGGCAGTTCTCAGCTTCCTTCTTTCATCCATTTTCTCTTCCTCTCCTCCCCTCCATAGCTGGCATAAGCATGCCTATAATCCCAACAACTCGAGGGGCTGAGGCAGGAGGATCACAAGTTTGAGGCCTGCCTAGGCAACTTAGCAAGACCCTATCTCAGATAAAATATAAAAAGATTGGGGCTATAGCTCAGTGGTAGAGCCTCCCTGGGTTCCACCCCTAATACCTAAAAAAACCACCCCCCCCCCCAAAACCAGTTGTCTTTTGGTGGAGACCATCCGTGTATCAAAATTCCTTAAAACAAGTAAAATAAGTGTATTGTCAGGTCTGGGCCTAGGGTTCTGGTGGGACAGTTTCAGGCCTATGGTTGACGACTTAAAAAAAACAAAAACACAACTCCTCTTATTTTGCTTATTAATGCCTGGTGTTTTTCAGTGTAGTTTTGTTCCATGAATAGAGCTATTCAATTTTCCTTCCAAACCAACTCACTTCTGAGTTCTTACTCAGATAGTATTTTTGCTGTCTTGTGTTTTATGTGGGTCCTAAGTGTTGCAAAAACCTTATTATGTCCATTGAGATAGATTTTTTTTTTGGCACTGGCAATTGAACCTAGGGGTGCTTTACCACTGAGATATATCCCCTCCCCTTTTTAAAATTATGAGATGGGATCTTGCTAAGTTACTTAGGGCTTCAAAACTGCTGAGGCTGGCCTCGAAATTGAAATCCTCCCACCTTAGACTTCCAAATTGCTGGGATAACATGCATGTGCCACCATACCTAACAAGATAGGTCTTAAGATGAACATATTCTAGACAAGATAACATTTGAGAAATTCATTCACTTATGGAAAAATAACTTTTTTTTTTTCCAGAGTAATGAACCTAGAGTTCCGCACATACTATGTATGTGCTCTGCCACTTTAAAATCCTTAAACTTTTTATTTGGAGGCAGGGCAGGCAGGATCTTGCTAAGTGGCCCAGGTTGGCCTTGAACTTTGGATCCTGCTTCAGCCTTCTCAGTAGCTGGGATTATTATAGGCGTGATCTTGAAAATAACTTTTGATCAGCACTGAGCACTTGACCACAGAGTAGTGCTGAAATTTAAGACCAGGAGTATAACAGATCACCTCCATTTTAAAGTAGCCTATAAGAACAAAACAAAATGCTGAGGTTTTATGTAACCACAATGGACTAATTCAGTACATAATAAACCACACTAAGTACTGTGAAAATTGACAACTCTTTTTCCTGTTGGAGGTTATTTAGGTCGAATCCAATTTGTTCACTCCCATATGGCTTGGACCAGGGATAATAGTACATGCAGACGGTGAGGAATGGTAGGTTTCTGATATATTTTGAAGAAAGAACAGCAGGATTTGCTGAGTTAGATGCAAGCTAGAAAGTAGAGTCAAAGATGCCACTGGAGTTTTTGAACTTGGCAGCTGGCAATGGGATTAACTGGGATGGGGAATGGTATGGAGAGGTTCTGGGAGTTCTTTTTGGACATCTTAAATTTGAAATGTCTCTTTGGCAGTCACAGGTGGATGAGTTTAGAGTTACTCAGCGGTCTAAACTGTAGTGTATCATCCAGCATACAAATGACATCACCAAGGAGGTGAGTAGAGATATTAACACTGAATAGGAATAAGGACTGATGGTGGCTAATGTTGAAGTCAGAGAAAAGAAAGGAATAAAGGGGATGGAAGTTAAAGGAAAATGTCCCCTAAAATGCCAGTTAGAAATTATCTCCATCAATATTTTATTAAAAAAAAAAAACATTTCCTGTTTCGGTCAATTGGAAAAGGTAGTAGCGGTCACCCCAAATTAAGTTATGGATCTATGATCTTCTATTATTTTCCCTGAAGCAGTTTAGAACTAATCTAAAATTGTGGGAGTTACCTTGATATTAAAGTATACCAGCAATTATAAATTTGAACAGAAAGCATTTTATCTGAGTTTGTATAATTGGTTTTTTAGAACTGTATTTCCTATACAAAAATTTAAAAATATAGCTTATACTTGATAAACAAATGATGTATTAATAAATTACCCACAGACTGGGTGGCTTAAAACAATGGAAATTTGTTTTCTCACAATTCTGGAGACCAGAGTCTGAAATCAAGCAGGAGTTGTTCCCTTCTTGGAGCTGAGAATCCATTCTATGCCTCACTCTTGGTTCTGGCAGTGACTCATGATCCTTGGTGTTTCTTGACTTGCATAAATTTCTGCCTCCATCTTCACATGGCTTTCTCTCTGTGTTGCAAATCTCATTATAAGAACACCAATCATTGATTTAGGGCCATGTCTAATGTGGAGTGATATTATCCTGAGATCCTTTATCTATTTCCAAATATGGTCACATTGCTAGGTATAGTGGGTTAGGCTTTGGGCCTACCCTTTGGGGGGATACTATTCAACCCACTACTGATGATAAAAAGGTTTGCAGGATCAGCAATAAGCCACTGGCCAATCCCTAGGAAATATAAATAGAGATTGTTGCTAAGTATCATCCTATGATAAAAAAGACAAAAGGCCTTAAAAATGAACTACCGTAAGAAATGTAAGCATTGTTTTAAAATTAAATTGGAGACCATACCAATATTTAATCATCCATCTTTATTGATAAAATAGTCTCCTATGCAGTATATACTCTCAGACACAAATTTGAAGTTCTTAAAAAAAAGGCGGGGGTAGGGGATGGAAAACTGTCATTAAAAACAAAGTCTTTCAAACACCCAAGACCTTAAAATCATATTCAAGCAAGAACACCAAGAATAAATTAACTCATCTGTTTATAAAAATATTTATCAAGTAATGTTTATAATTACAGCTGCCTAATGAATTGCCTTAGAATCTCAACTGTGTAGCTTATTTAATTTTTACTTGGGATAAAAACTATTTGAATGTGCCACTGAATTAAGGTCTGCTTTCTGAAAAAAATAGAAAAGTTTAAAAATAAAAGACTGTCATTTATAAAGTATCAGTTAAGGCCTCTGAATGAAAAAAGAAATTTAATGTTTTGGGCCATTATTAACCCTTTTCTAATCAGTAAGCCCCATCTACCCTTCTCTCCCCAAACTTAATGTAGAAAATTTCTAAAGTGAAAAGTAGTTTTGAGTTTTATCAATATATGAAATTATACTTAAAAATTGTCATGACATAATATTTAACAAATTATATACTCATAAGTAGAATTTTCTATGTGTTAATTTTAATGTGTGATAAAATGAGTATATTTAATAATATTTGATACTCATTCTTTTATTCTATATGATCACTACAAAATAAAGAAAAATTTAGGTTTCAATTGGTGTCAAAGTTTCTGTATCTTTTTGCTTTAAAAAAGAAATCTACTTACTGTTTGACATGTTTTAATAAAACCAATACTTGTAAATCCATAGATTTCCAACCCCCTGTAGTAATGAAAAGTTATTCAAACCAAACCAAAAAAACCTTAAGGGAATGAGGCAGATGGAGCTTAAAAAATATATATATATTTTTTAATATTTGAGTCTACTTTTTCTGTATCTTAATTACTTAAAAAAGGGTTGGGTAAACCATAATTTTGAATTTACTTTGAAATTACCATACCTATTTTACTACATGAAACATTTCAACTTTGTTAAGTAAATGAAATATATGAGGTCCTTAAATACCAAACAGAAAAGAGAAAAATTGTTTTTATTGTTGACTAAAAACCAAAACTTATTCTTTCAGAGGAGTAGTTTAACCTACTAAATATGTTTATTTATAAGATCTTCTTAGAAAGTAATGTTCCTTATCTTTCATTCCTGAAATATTTCATATTCTTTAGCAAGTTATGGACAATTGTTAGCTAAGTATCATTTATGTGGTAAATTAGCTATAATTAAATTTCCTCTTTTATTTGTGGTACATGTAAAACATTACTGCAACCTTTAAACCTGAATTTTCTTTGACAAAAAAATTTTAAATTAATGGGAAAGGAGACAGGCAATCACTAAAGCTGAAGTCTTATGGTACATAACCTATTTGTTAACTCTGACACCAAACAGGAAGGATTAAACTGAGTATAAGGATCTTCCATTCACAAAACCATGGCAAAATATCGTAAATTAGGATAATTCTATGAATTCCCAAACAATTACTGGGAAAAGTCAAGTGTATCTAAGTATATCATTTAGAAAGCCAATAGCACTGCTGAAAGCTCTTGATATTTTCAGCCATCACTGTGAAAACCCTTTGTTTGTTCACCAATTAACAATGGCTCAGTTTCCATTTCAATTATGTTTTGGAATAAAGTTTATGACCAACTATACATTTTTTTTTTTTTTTTTTTGGCTAACACTTAGCCAGTGCACTGTACAAACCATAGAGGAAAAAAAAAAGGGTTGATTGAATTTGAGTTTTCTCTTCATTCATTCATTTATAGGCCAGTCTTTGTGATAGTTTAGAGTCATATACAAAGTTCCCAGACTTGGAACCCTTTCAGCTCTTCCTCAGACTCAGGTCACTGTTGGTTACTAATGCTGACAAAGATGTGCTTTCTGATGCATCATCCTTCCTAAGGTTCAAAAATGATTCTCGAGTTATTTGAAGGATCTCTCTCAGGCCCTTGTTTTCTTGCTAGAAGGAGGCAAGCCAAAAAAAAAAAAAAATATATATATATATTCTGTAACTGGCATAAATGTAGTTACATATAGTTGACAAGCTGAACCCAAACAATTTTTCTTTTAAAAAAGTGAACTATGTTCACCCTCTCCCACCACTGCAAAGTCTTATATATACACAGATGTAACTGAGATTAAAAACTCAAACTGCCTTATAATCATACTAAAGATGAAGAAAATAGCATCTGGATCTAGATATAAATTCATAAAGGTAGTGAATAATACCCTCTGACTACACCCTCGCAGTACATTAGTACTTTTATTACTTTCCATGATAGTATGGAATGTAGGACAAGCCATCTAGTTTGTTTCCCTTACACAGAAATTTGAGAGCAGCCGGGTTGAGTAGATGATATTTCTCAAAAGGAAATTAAGTAACCATATTTGACACTGTAAAAAACTTTGCCTTAGGGTGGGGGTTGGGTTGTGGCTCAGCGGTAGAGCACTCCCCTAGCATATTTGAGGTCCTGGGTTCGATCCTCAGCACCACATAAAAATAGGTAAATAAAATAAAGGTGTTGTGTGCAAATACCAAAACACAAAAAAATTTTGCCTCCCCCAACTCTAGAATTACTGTTAAGAAATTTTCAGATAGTTAAAAATAATCTTTTATAATTTATCATATATTATTGTGGCTACTTTTGCATTACATGGCAAAGTTGAGCAGGTGCAAACTGTTTAGTTTGAGAAGTATAGAAAATTTATTTGCTGGTTCACTATTGGAAAAGTCTGCCCGTTCCTGTAACACAAACGGGAGAATACATGTTTAAGAGTAAGAAGTCAATTTTTTCCCGATAATGACTTCAAAGTCTATTCCAATTATTAATTGTATACAAAATAAAAGATGGATCGAGACAAAGACTTTTAGAGTCCTTGGAAAATAAGAGTACACAAAAAATATATGTGGATTAATGAACCCTTTCCCTGTACTATCTTGATAGAATGAACAAATTTATAAAAATTACTAAATTAAATAAGTACCTTCATTTAGTAAGAAAAGGAATATAACTTTCTCCACTACTGGTATAAGTTCCTAATGATCCTAGATTCTTGCATTACTGTATAGTCTTACATCATATATTCATATAACCAGCATCCAGATTAAGAAAAGAACATTACCAAGTATTCCAGAAAAGTATATGTACATTTTTAAATGGGATTCTGGAATGTCTTTTTTAAAAAATATTTTTAGTTATAGATGAACACAATGCCTTTTATTTTTTTCTTTTTTATGTGGTGTGGAGAATCAAACCCAGTGCCTTACATGTGCTAGGCCAGCACTCTACCACTGAGCCACAACTCCAGCCCCTCTGGCATGTCTTTTTATGGACAGTTTTCACCTACATTTGCAATTTAAAACTTACTTCAAGTTGAAATATTCGTTCCTGCTCCTTGCAACCCTGTTGCTCGTCGATTTCAATGGCTTTCCTCATCACTGCTGCCATTTCAGTTATCTGGTCAACATGTGCTTGTAACTCCTGAAAAAAAGGCATACGAGTTGGTAATCAGTGAAATACTTTATTTTTCAAATTATTTTTAGTTTTGGATCCTTTTAATAAAATCTGCACTGTCATTTAATATGAATGTAATATTCTTGTATTGCCATTTAATGTAAATGTAGTAGTTAGATCACAACAAAGATGATTAACAATGAATGTGTTTTTGAAATCAGATTTCTATTAGGATTAGAATTAAGGATAAGCAGCAAGATATAATTAAACCCAGTACCAAGAAATTTACTTGTTTCATATTCCTCTAACCACAGGAATCAGCAACTTTTTCTTTTTCACACCTATATATACAACGGGTCAAACTAATTGTGAAGAAAAAATTGTTGACACACTGGTCTTCAATTTTTCATGATTCACAAATCTTTTCAATATTATCCATGCCTATAAATTGATCCTCTTTGAAAGCAAGAACTGTATCCTGTTTATATTTGCCTATTTAGTGTTTTCTATATAATATTGAGAACTTAATAGACTTAAATGGCCTTTGCCAACCATTGAAAATATAATTTCAGCATAATACAGACATCCACATTTGTTAGGTGCATAAATGAGGTCCCACTCGAGAATTCCTTATTTTTTTGCAAATCTCTGATGTGCCAGGTACTGTACCAGGCACCAGGAATATCAAGCCTGCTAAGACTATTTCCTGACCTGCAGGAGCTCAGAGTCAAGTGAAGCAAATACCATTCAAAATCAATAGAAATGTGAGAAAAATCACTATCATTATCAGTTTCTATCGACCATTATTCATTGGCAATGGAGGTTATTATATATCAAGGCCAAGCTTAAATATAAAATGAATAACTTTCCAAATAAACATCAAGTCTCAAATAGTTGTATATATTTTGATTGTAAACAGGATTTGAACAAGACCTCAAAAAAACCCCACAAAACAAACTGGATGAAATGACAGGGAAAAAAGAATGGATCTATCTTTAGCAAACCACATTAAAAAATATACAGTTTATATATGTATACATATTTGTGTGTATAAAATATACATATATATTTTGTAGGGCTGATTGAACCCACGACCTTACTCCATGGTAGGCAAGTGCTCTACCACTTAGCTACATTCCCCACCTCATTTAATAATCTAATAAAAATGCATTTCTTTTTTTTTTTTTTTTTGGTGTTGGGGCCTTGCACATGCTAAGACATGTTCTACCATTGATCTATACCCCCTCCTACCTCTCCTTGTATTATTCCAATGATGACATCTATATAATGTTGAGTACTTAAGAAGGCACAATAAAAAACTAATCTGCACTGTCCAGCACAGTGCTATTAAAATTAAATACATATAATTATTAATTCCTGCACTGACATTTCCAAGTGCTCAACAGCCACACATATATTTAGCGTACATTTCTTATTTGCTTCCACATTAGTATAAAGAACATTTCCATCATTTCAGAAAGTTCTACTGGGCAATTTTGGATTAGATTATAGTAACAAAAAGGATCAAGACACATACTTGCCATACTCTGCAACAGTTAAAAAAAAATCATTAAAAGCTGGGCATGGTTGGCTCATGCCTGTAATCCCAGCAGCACAGAGGCTGAGGCAAGAGGATCTTGAGTTCAAAATCAGCCTCAGCAAAAGCAAGGTGCTAACAAGCAACTCAGTGAGACCTTGTCTCTAAATAAAATACAAAAAATAGGGCTGGGATGTGGCTCAGTAGTTCAGTACCCCTCAGTTTAATCCCTGGTACCAAAAAATAAAAAATAAACTTCCTCCCACTTGTAAAGGGAACATAATGTTTAAAAGCAAGTAAATACAGATAACTGCAACAGCAAAATGAGTAATGAACATAAGTTTTGAATAACAATAGCATTCTCAATTAAGTCTTTTTAAACTGGAAGAAAATAGATATTTACTTTCTTTTTCAGGAAAAAGTCTCTTCTAACAAGATCACCACAAAAACAAAACAAAACAAAAAAAACCAAACTTTAAATGATAGTATTTTTACAGGCCCAATTAATGGTTCACTTGTTAACTATAAAATCTTTTGTGAGGAATCAGTTTTCAATAGGTGTAAAAGACAAGACTGGTTCAAAACTGCCTTGAAGGCAAAAGTGTTAGCAACATAATTATTAAACTGTTTTGAAATGACTTTTTTTGAGAGGGTGGGTGGGGGAGGCACTGAGGGTTGAAACCAGGGGTGCCTTACCACTGAGCTATATCCCCAGTCTTTTATATTTTTTGAGACAGGGTCTCACTAAGTTACTGAGGAGCCTGCTAAAATTGCTGAAGCTGATCTTGAACTTGTGATCCTTTTGCTTCAACCTCTAGAGTTGCTGGGATTATAGGAGTGTACCTAATGCTTTTCATTTTTAACTTTGTCTAGGCTTATTTTTACTTTACTAAGAAGATAAAAGAATGGCTACAAGTTTTTTAAAAAGAGACGACACATGGAAAGAGCACTACTAAATTATATAAACAAAAGGCATTTTTGTCTTATTTGTGAACTGTAAAGGACTACAAACTATCAAAAACCTAAATTAAAACATTTCCTTTTTGATGGATCAAGACTTTAAGAAATCAGGTTAAAATTAATGTCAAGAAAATATCCTTAATGTCCAGGACAAGAAAATGTCCTTGATGTAACTGTTTTGTTGTAACAAAAACTGCAGCAACAAAGCTAATAAGAGAAAATAAATGCAAAACTGGGCTAAATATCATTTGAAATCTGTAGTCTGTGTATGATACAATACACAAGAGAATTAGTGACTGTGTATGATACAATATATAGAGAATTAATGACAAATTTTTAAAGTTTCTACACTAAACAGCATAACTACCAAAAGCACAGCATTTTATTTTTAGTTGATTTCATTTATTTGCTGATCTATTCTGGGAGGGAAATTCAAAGTAAAAGAACTTTTTAAATGGACCCCCTTTCCATCCACACCCCAAAATTGACTGTTTTATTTAGTGTACATTCTGATTTGCTTCCAAGTGCCTCCTCTCCAGTCCATGTTGAGGTGCTTCAAGGACGTGTCGAGATGCATCAAGGAAGAATCCTTCGGAGTTGTTACGATGTACCATGTCAATCTGTAGTACAGAGTCATTATAATGTTAATACGGACATTATCCGTACTTTAAAAACTGAATGAGTGTTAGTTCATGCGTGTTAGCCAACTGTTCAAAATGTTTGTTTTTTTAAGATTTCCAAAAAGGTATGTTAAATAAAAATAATTATTTGGATGAAAATAAATTCTCAAACTTTCTACAGATTTTTAAGTGTGCACTCACAAACTTCTGTAGTATTTCAAAAGGGTCTTCTACTCCAAAATGTTGCTATGTGTAACTTTATGTTACCCCTAACTGTCATAAAATTATTTTTGTGTTTAGATGTTATCAGGGCACTAATACTCAAACATGTCCTAGAATCCCATTGTTTTGTGCTTTTATGGTATTTCCCTAACCCACTTCTGCTTATGGAAACCCTCCCCACCTTCATAATTAATTCAAGGTTGAATTTGGATACATTTTCTCTTTACTGAACATCTTTCCAGATTTTCCTCACAAGAACTAATATTGCTTTTTAGTATTCTGGTAACAATTCCTATTTCTATCAGACCCTGCCCTATATTAATTAGGTTTGTGTCTGTATCTCCCATTACAAGCTCAAATAGTAATTTAACTTATTTGTTCATTCACATTGTTATTACGCTTAACAACTAACCCCGTGCAAGTGTTAATAAATGTTTGTTTAACTGAGTCAAGGTGTCTCCTTTTTGGGAAAAATCAAAATCACAAACATTAATATGTATTAGTTAGAATTAATAACGAGTAACTTTATAGTCATTTTATGGAAGGCAAGGATCAGCACTTAAATTCAATCCACATAATGAAAATGGATGGTTTAGAGCAATCTAGAAAATGTTTAACTTTACTAATTAGTAAAATAGCTTCAATGAATGATTAAATCTAATGTGTTTTATTTATATTTTGTGCTGGGGATTAAACCCAGGATTTCATGCTTGCTAAGCACACACAATACCACTGAACTATATCTCTATCCCCTAATGTGTTTTAGAAAACATTTGCTCTGTCATAATTGCTACCAGATGGGACTAACAAGCTGCAATATCGGATCCTAAGCATTTTTTGACATGGTATTCTCTTCCCTTTAGATTAGATCTTTAAAATTTATTTTTCAAGTTATAAAAGAGAAGGTCCTTTTAGAATATGTCAAGATTACATTCATCTTATCAATAATTTTAACTCAATTTCTCTTCATTATTTAAAAAAAAGAGTCTTAGTTATATTGTTAAATTTAAATGATTTGTAATGGTCTCATTAACAATGGATTTTTTTTTTTTTTCTAATGTTAGGGATCTAACTCAAGGCCTTGCATGGCTGGGCAAGTGCTCTATGAAGCTACATCCCCAGCCCAACTATAGATTTCATATTCAAAAGATTGTCCCTAAATAGCCAAGGATTTCCATTTGGCTAGGAGATGAATATTAGATAATATCAAGCCCAAAGTTGTTAATTTATTAATTTACTAGTTGACACAAGAAGAACCTATTAAGTTTTCTCAAAGAGTTATTTACTAGACACTTAATTCCAGAAGAATTAATAATAATTTAAAAACATAAGCACCAGATGGAAGAAATATTTTAAAGAATCTAAAATGTGTTTTCCTAATTGAGAAAGATCAAAAATGTCTTATAACAACCACTATTTCTTAATAACTAATAACAAGTATCTCACTATTATGCACTACAGATAATGGCCAGGTTATCACAACCTTTAATATTTCTATTTTACACCAGCAGCTAAAATTAAGTTTAAAATACAATGTAAATGGTGAAGAGATTAGTCTACTTATCTTCATAACAGTTGCCAGTAAATACAGAAACATACCAAAGGAAATAGACACAGGAATCCTACAAGAACAATAGGAAAAAAAACTCTAGTTTCTAACCACTTCAGTTTTGCCTCTAAAAATGATGTCAATTGGTATGCAATCCCGAGAGCAAAATTTAAATAGACTGGTACAATCTTTTCTTCTCCCCAGCCCCATAGTTTTTCATTATAATCAGGATCATTCATAGAGTAGATAAATTAGCCTCATTCAGAAAATGGTCTTCAGAAAAACAAATTTACATTTAGTTGCTTTCAAAATTTTTTTAAAATTTCAAAGCATTTCAATTTTTGTTCTCACAAAATATGTCATTATATAAATTTACTGGGAGAAATATTTCTTAAAAGTAGATAACTTACAAAACTAATTTTGAATTGAACAAACTTACCTTTATTTCCAAAACAGTGTGTGTAATATACATACATACTTGTTTAAAAGTTACTAACAAACAGTATGAGTTAGAAAAAAAAAAATCAAATAGACTATGGCACATAACAAACAAGAAGTGAGAAAAGAGAAGGCAGAAAATGTCAGTTAAAAACATGAAGTAGTCAATGTCATGTTAAGGCGGCATTACTAGATATCCCTTTTTTAATCTGAACACAACCAACTGTCCCTCTTTTCCCGTTCAAGTTACCTTTATGGAATGGATTACCTTGGAATGCTGCTCCTTTAACTTCATTATTATACCTGGATCATCTTTTTTGCTAGCCATGAGCAATCTAAACATTTGTTCTCGATACTTGCTCATTATAAGTTCCAATGCAGACTGATGTTCTTCCAGGGATGTACGTAATTCTATCAAGAATAACAGTATATTTTATTAAAATTTAGGGTAAACAAAATATTCTCTTCAATATTATATTTACCAAAATACCCAAATACCAAAATAAATAGGATATTTTAAAAAGAAAACATGATATATAAAATTCTACCCATGTAACAATAAAAGACAAATAATTTATTTAGTGGTGGGGGTTGAAACCAGGTGCACTTTACTATTGAGGTATATCCATAACTCTTTTTATTTCTAACTTTGAGACAGGGTCTTGCTAAGTTGCCAACACTGGCCTCAAACTTGCAATTCTCCTTCCTCAGCCTCCCAAGTCACTGGCATTACAGGCATGTACAACTGTACCCAGCTTTAAAACTCAGTTTTTAAGTATCAGAAAACATTTACTAAATAGCAAATAAACATCAGACAATGCTCTTGCTATATTAAGAATACCCCAAAACTATTAGAGTTTAGGGTACAGTACAGAAAACAAATATGTGGTAAGTGCAGAGCTACTCAAACACATTTAAGAGAAATCTCTGGGGAGAAATTTGTGAAAGTTTTCCAGAAGCGTGACACGGGGATGACTTTGATTTTCTTGGGTTGAAAAATTAAAGATTGGAGATTCAAGGTAAGGAGGCATTAAAATGGATGATGTGTTGAGAAACTGGTCTGAAATGGCAAGAGCAAAATATTCACAGAGAAGAGCTGTGGGAAGAAGACAGAAAAGGCCTGGAATTGACTTTGAAGTTCCTTATGTAAGGAAATAAGGATACAATGAAAGTTCTCAAGCAAAAAGTAGCATGATTAGATTTATTTTTGAGAAATCAATCTGATGCTTGTGTTAAAGACTGATGGAAGTGGAAAGACTAGAATCAAGGAGACCAGTTAGGACAGAACAGACAAAAGATTAAGAGGACAGCACCCTAACGGGGGCTAAAGCAGTGAAACTGCAGAGAATGAAACTGAGTCATTTCACAGGTAACAAAAATAATGGTGCAAACTAAGTATTGAGGATGAGATTCTAAGACCAAGAAAAGAAGTTCTCTGGGTGTGGGGGTGTACACCTGTCATACCAAGTGACTCAGGAGGCTGAGGCAGGAGGATCCCAAGTTTGAGGCCAGCCTCAGCAACTTAAGACCCTGTTTCAAAATAATAAAAAGAACTGGGGATGTGGCTCAGTATAAAATGCCCCAGTTCAAACCCCAGTACCAAAAAAAAAAAAAAAGAAGAAGAAGAAAAGAAGCCATTCATCTACAGCGATAATATGTCTTACCTTTGTTCTCTTGTTGCAATTCTCTGATTTGTCTGTTTTCTTGCTGGATTCCCATAACTAATGTAGACCGTGGCCGATGTCTTGCGACTTCATTAAGTTCTTGAATTTCTTCCTGATACTAATGAAATGATTAAAAAAGAATATGTCTGGAGAAAGTATTTGGAAACATATCTGATGTGTTAATAAGTATAAATAAATAAACAGATCCTTCAAAAGTTAAACATACAAGATATTATATAATTCATTCATCCCACTCCTAGGTATATACCCCAGGGCACGGAAACCCTACATCCATGCCAAACCTTGTATACAAATATTCATAACACCATTTTGTGTAAGAGCCCCCAAATTCAAATGTCTATCAACTGATGAATGGATAAACCACAATGTGTTGCATCCTCACAATGCAATATTATTGGGCAATAAACAGGAATGAAGTACTGATTCCATGCTGTGACAGGAATTGTAAAAACTCTGTAAAGAGCCAATCACAGCTAGGTGTGGTGGCAAGTGTCTGTAATCCCAGTGGTTCAGGAGGCTGAGGCAGGAGGATCTTGAGTTCAAAGCCAGCCTCAGCAACTTAGGGAGGCTCTAAGCAACTTAGCAAGATCCTATCTCTAAACAAAATAATTAAAAAGGGCTGGGAATGTAGGCTCAGTGGTTAAGTGCCCCTGGGTTCAATCTCCGGTACCAGGGGAAAATAAAAGAAGCAGCCAATCACAATAAGCCACATATTATATCATCTTATCTAGTACAGGCAAATCACAGATGAAAAGATTCGTGCTTACTAGTGGGGAGGGGAAGGAAAAGCTAGGGAAATACTGCTAATGGGTCTACAGTTTTAGGGTGATGAAAATGGTCTGTAATTAGTGATTATGGTTGCACAACCTATGAATATACTGAAATCCAATGAACTGTATTATTTAAAAGGGTGGAATTTTATGGTATATAAATTATCTTAAAAGAACATGTTCGGAAGAAATGCAAAATAATTTGCATTAAAAAAATAATTGGCGCACACCTGTACTCCAAGCAGCTCAGGAGGCTGAGACAGGAGGATGTTAAGTTCAAAGCCAGCCTCAGCAATGGTGAGGAACTAAGCAACTCAGTAAGACCCTGTCTATAAATAAAATACAAAAAATAGGACTGGGATGTGGCTCAGTGGTCCAGTGCCCCTGAGTTCAATCTTCAGTATCCCACCCCCCAAAAGTAAGAATGTAACTTCAAAATTGCAATCATTTACTTTCAAGACATTATGAGACACCTAGTAATGGATTCATAACAACATTCCTGATTCTTAACTTCAAATGTCAAATTCCTTTTTTAAAAACAAGTTAATACCAGGCATATGTTCACTGGAGTGCCAGAGTTAAACCGCACATTATGGAGGCAGGTAATCTGTTTAGGGCAACATGACTGCAAAACAGAATAAGTAAACTTGCTTTACTATTTTTCATAGCTTTGTTAAGAGCATTACCTCAGGTTGTTTCCTTTTACAGAATGGGTGAGTTTCATAAAAGTTGGCTGTGAATATACATTTTCCCCTCTAATTTCTATCACAATACATGAGATTGTATAATTTTCTTAATAATTAAAAATTTTTATCAGAGGAGGGTTTAAAATGGTAGCTAGACTCTATAGTTCACTGAAAGATACTGTTATACATGGTAAAAAATCAAGTTATGAAAACCTTTTAATTTCTTTTTAGTTGAGAGCATTAAATGAAAAACAAGATAGAAAGTACTAATGTGTTACTGCATAGGCTGTAAACCAGATATTTCTTTGCATCACTTTAGAAAATATTTGGTTGTTAAATAGCATTTTATAAGAAAACTACATAAACACATCTGTCTTACATAAGACAAAGCAAAATGTATGTCAACATTAGTAAAAGGTATTATCTGGTCTTTGTCAAATTTATCTAGACCTAATAAATTCATTTGAGGTCTAAACTCAAATGTGCATCTCTATCAGAAAAGTAATCAAATCTACAGGTTTTTTTTTTTTTTTTTTGCAGTAGGAATTGAACAAAGGGCACTTTACAAATGAGTCACATGCCCAGTCCTTTTAATTTTCTGTTTCAGGACAGGGTTTCACTAAGTTGCTTGGGGCCTTGCCAAGTTGCTGAGGCTGGCTTTGAATTTGTGATACTCCTGCTTCAGCCTCCCAAGTTCCTGGGATTACAGTGCTCAGCAAATCTATAGGTTTTAGAACACACATACATACATACATGTATGCCATCTAAACACGACAAATATATCCTCATTTAAAGCAGACTAAACATACAAGTGAAGCTACTTCAAAATTTAGGGAACATTAAAAGCAGTAGCTATGATTCAAGCAATACATAAATGTCAATGACTGCTTCTGTTAAATGGTATCAAGGAAAAATCAAACCTGCTTCATTGCTTCTACTCGCTTGTTGAGAGCTGTGGTTTGCTCAATCAGAGATTCTGCTGCATCGTCATGATCTCTCAATCTTTCAACAAGGGCTTTAGCATCAGCAAGTGCCTTCTCAATTGTGCAACTCATTTCTAAAAGAATATCTATAATTAAAATTAAAATTGAGACTCAAAACAAAGTCTGCATATCACCTTGTTTTAGCTTCACATATACAAAATTACACTTCTAAAGCTTCATTTAAGTTTGTTCATTGGGAGAAAAAAGAATCTAAGAACACCTTGTGATTTCGCTTGTTAGAAATGATATAAGCTTGAAGTTTAAATAGAGTGTAAAGAACGCTGCTTAGCCTCTACTTAGTCAGGTGATCTGAGACACTCCTTAAAAACACATATTACTAACTAGACAAAATTGCTTCTATGTGTCAATGCTATTCAAAGTCTCAATCTTCTCTTGGGTATGCTTCTTATATAAAATCACATTATAATCCTAACTCTTGTATTTTCCTTATTATATGGTGAAAAGAAAAAAAAGTTTTGATTTGAATAACACTGGCTCTTATGGGAAACTTTTGGTATATATAAGGGAAATTTAATGGGAATTTCAAGATGGCTATTAGAGGTACCCAGCACTCACCTCCCCCTCAACAATGAAACAAATAGGTATATAGTTGAATTCACAAGTGAGTGACCATGGGAGAACACTGGAAAGCAGGGAGCGAGATACTGTAACCTTGTAAATTCTTATAAACCTGGGAGAAGAATACAGTAAGAGAAACAAAATAGCCCAGCACTTGCCACCGGACCCTACAACTGGGATAGGGAAAGGGTAAAAAAAAGTTCCATTTGCAGGGTAAGGGTAAAAAACAGTCTCACAAAATAATCAGTGTGGATACTGGTAACCCTAGCTTTTGCAAAGTTTCACTATGCCCACTGGCTTGCTGCCCTACCTAGGTAAGTTACCTGAAATCTATCTAACAGACCTGCTTTGAAAAGGATTTAATATCACCTTCCAGAGAATATATAGGGTGCAGTTCAGGAGCCATGTTGAGAAGAGACCTACTGTCTGACTTTGGGCTGCTTTAAGGATTAGAAACCCCAATATATTCACATTTCTGGAACTTCGACATTCCACTGCACTGGCTTAGCAGGTAGCTGCCTCAGGAACCAAACATGGCTCAGCAGATGAATGATTCAAACCTGCTGTGTGTCCTACACTGTCATAAACAGGGTTTGTGACATGAGAACAGAAGGCAATACCCTCAAGAACTGGGAGACTGGGGATGATGCCCTTAGAAACCAGGGGCATGATCATTAAGTAGCATGGGGGTTCACTCTAGTGCTTGAAATGAAGGGACCCCTCACCCCTTCACCCAAACAGGCTCCTGTCATTAACAGGGCAGGGAAAAAACTCCATGGGTCCCACTGCTGCTTTGCCTATGGAGGACTGCTGGGATAGCTTTGAGCAATGCTGGAGATCTAATTGCTGAGGGACCTGCAGTCTAAGGGGGGTGGGGGGGGGGAGAACCTTGCCTGATGCCTGGAGCATTCTTCTCTTGCTCATGCACTTCCACTGAAAGGAATATTGCTTGGCTGCAGATGTGATTCACTCTTGCTGGTTCTATGGAGGGCATTACATCTAAAGCAATTCTAGAATAAAAGCCCCCCAACCCCACTGCCCTGACCCTGAGTGTGCATAGCCAAGACAGGCCCCAGGATGAATTTTGCCTTGACTTTGTTCTGCTCCATCCCAGACAGGACAGAAGTGAGGGTGGAGGGTCTTGCTACTACTATCCTGTCACCAAGTGCCTGCAGTTAGGGGTTGGTCTGAGGTCCCACACTTGGGTGGACATGCCTACAGTAGCAGAAAGGAACACCACAACCATGCAGTTCTACTCCTGGCTGCCTACCCCCACACCTTGCCTGTCATGCATTGCTTAATGGACTGCATGTGAGTGCCACAGAAGAGGTGCTCTGATTCTTACCCTGGCCTCTCCTTGTGAAGCACCTGGGCCCCTCACCATTACTGGTACAGCTAGTGCTAGAGACCCTTACAGATAACAGAACCAGCATCAATAGTACTGAGGAAGCCCAACACCTGATATGGCCATAGACTCATTCTAAAGGAATTCTTCAGATAAAAGCAATATGATATCAGAAAGAAAAAACATCAGGAATGAAGAAAAAGGAACAGAAATTATAAATAACAGTAAATAGTCTCTTTAGTTCTTTAAAATGTTTGGTGTTTAGAAATAAGAATTCCAACTTTTGTCTGATGGAATTTTTAGCATATACAGAGGTAATATAGAATGCAACTATAACTACAACATAAGGAGAGAGGGGCAACAAAGAGGCCCATATTGTGATAAGGTTTCTAATATTTTACTTGAGGAAGAAGACCTATATGCTATCTAAATAAAACTCACTTAAAATATAATATAGATACATTAAAAGTAAAAGGATAGAAAAAGGATGCACTATACAAATACTAATCAAAAGAAAGCCAGATACCAAAAAGTACATGAAAACATGCTCAACATAATGCAATTAAAAAACTACACCAAGGGCTGGGGCTGTAGCTCAGTGGCAGAGCACTTGCTCAGCCTGTATGAAGCATTGGGTTCGATCCTTAGCCCCACATAAAAATAAAAAAAATAAGGCATTCTGTCCATCTACACCTACAAAAGAATTAAAAAAAAAAAAAAAAAGAAAGAAAAGAAACTACAACAAGCAGGGCACAGTGGTGCACGCTTGTAATGCCAGTGACTAGGGAGGCTGAAGCAGAAGGATCACAAGTTTGAGGCTAGCCTCAGCAAGTAAACGAGATCCCAACCAATGTAGCAAAAACTTGCCTCACAATAAAAGGGCTAGGGATGTAGCTCACTGGCCAACTGCCCCTGAGTTCAATCCCCAGTACCAAAACCACAAAAAACAAAACTAAAAAGACTACAATGAGATACATCTATTAAGGGTGGCTATCACAAAAAAGACATTAAAAAATTTAAGTGTTGGCTAGGATATGGAGAATTTGCAATTTGCATAAAGTACCCATGGAATGTAAAAATGGTATAGCCACTATGAAAAATATGCTGGTAGTTCTTCAAGATGTCAAACACATGATTCCATTCTAGATATACACTTAGAAAATGAAAAAAAAAATTCAAGCAAAATATTATGCATAGCAACATTATTCATAATGGCCCAAAATTAGAATTAACCCAGTCTGTCAAATGAAAAAATGAATAAATAAAAAGATGTCCTGAAACAAGGAACATGAATGATAATTATTATGCTTAGTGATAGGAACCAGTCACAAGTGACCACATATTATGATTTAGATGTCCAGTAGAGGAAAATCCATAGAAACTGAAATTAATTTAGTGAATGCCTAGTGCTGGAGTATAGCAGGGGGTAGGGTATGGTTGGGAAAAGTTAAGGGGAATAGGAAATAATTGTTAATGGCATATGGTTTCTTTTTAGAGTGATAAAATATTCTAAAATTGATTTTGTTGACAGTTATATGACTGTGAATATACTAAAACCCATTCAATCGTACACTTTAAATAGGTAAATAGTATATTGTATGTCTTGATAAAGGCGTTTTTTTTTTTTTTTTTAAGAGCTGGAGTAAAGACACTTTAGGGAAAAGAAAACGATCAGGGACAAAGAAGCATTACATAATGATAAAAGGGCCAGTTCACCAAGAAGACAAGAATCCTAATGTAACACGCACGCAAGAATACGTAAAGCAAAACCTGAAAGTATTGAAAGGATAAATAGACATATTCACACTTACTACTAAAAACGTCAATGCTCCTTTCTCAGGAATTGACAGATCTTGTATGCAGAAAATCAGGAAGGATACAGAGGAAATGAACATCATCATCTAAGTGGATTGAACTGATTTTATGAAACACTACTACCAACAATGGTAGAATACGATAGTTCTCTTTATCCATGGTTTTACTTTCTATGATTTTAGTTACCCATGACCAATTGTGGATCAAAAATACTAACTGAAAAAAATCCAGAAATAAACAATCATAAATTTTAAATTGTAAGCCATTCTGAACAGTGTTATGAAATCTTTATTTATTCCGGCTTAATACATGAATCATCCCTTTGTCCAATCATGCTGGCTATATTCCATGCCTGTTAGTCACTTACTAGTTATCACAGTAGCAGTACCAGTGTTCAAGTAACCTTTATTTTACTTAATCATGGCCTCAATGTACAAGAGTAGTGATGCCGGCAATTTGGACATGCCAAAGAAACCATAAGTGCTTCCTTTAAGTGAAAAATTCTCATAAGGACAGGGAAAAAAAAACCCACAAAACTATATACCAAGGTTCCTAAGATCTGTCTGAAACTGTGAAGAAAAAATAAATTTGTGCTGGTTTTGCTGTCACAACCCAAGCTACAAAAGCTGCAGCCACAGCATGTGATTATGTGATTAGTAATTAGTTAAGATGAAAAAGAGAGTTGGGGCTGTAGATCAGTGATAAGAGTGCATGCTCTGCCTCTGCAAAGCCCTGGGTTCCAGTCCCCAGAACCAAAAAGATAAAAGTGTTGAAGACTGTTTTTCAATCTGAGTACAAAAGAAGGTGGGGCAGGGCATTAAATTTGTAGGTGGACCACATGAACAGAAAAACACATCCGGATTGGTGGTAATATTTTGTGTTAGAAAGTATTCAGCCTATATGAAGACTTCAGCAGGGAGCCTCTGAAATAACATAACACCAAGCCATTTACTGCAAATAAAGGATGGTTACACAGACTCAGGAATAGGTTTGGACTGAAATTACTACAAAGGCTGTGTCTGCTGATGAGGAAGCTGCTGCTGAATTTCCAGCAGTGTTGAAGAGACTAAATAAAGAGAAAGGATACCATCCAATGTGAATTTTCAACTGCAATGAAACTAAGCTCATCTGCAGGAAGATGCCAGTAGAATCTGCAGTCATGGAAGGAGGACATTAGACATAGGACAGATTACTCTAGTACTATGTGGCAACACTGCAGGGCATAACATAAAGTTAGCTGTGTATAGAGTGAAGAACCCACACACACCCAAAACCAAAACCTATATTTTAAGACCATATTTATATAACTTTTATTACAGTATATTTTATAATTGTTGTATTTTATTAGTAGTATTGTTAATCTCTTTTTTATTTTCTGGAGTCAGAAGCAGAGATTTATTTAGGAAAACAAGAATTATACACTTAAAGGAAAAGAGACAGTGTACAAACTATCTCAAGAGTGAGAAGCCTATTGTTAATTTCTTACTCTGGTCTAATTTATACATTAAACTTTATCCATAGGAATGTATAAGAAAGACAGTGTTCATAGGGTTTGGTATAATTTTCAGTTTTAGGTGTCCACTCGGGATTTTGGAACATATCCCCTAAATATAAGGGGGAACTACTGTACACATTATTTTGAAGTGTACATAGGATATTCATTAGGATAGATCACAAAACAAACCTTAAAAAAATCTAAAAGAAGGGTTGGGGTTATGGCTCAGAGGTAGAGTGCTTACCTAGCATGTTTAAGGCACTGGGTTTGATCCTCAGCACCACATAAAAATAAAATAATAAAATACATATTGGGGAAAAAAATCTAAAAGAAATGCAATCATGTAAATTATATTCTGATCATAATGGAATTAAATAACATAGGTTAAAAAAAATCTCCAAACATTCTAAAATTAAACAAGACACTTCTAAATAATGTGCTAAAAAGGAAATTTCTGGAAATCAGAAATATTTTGATCTAAATAAATTTGAAACTACAAGATATCAAAAATTTTGGCATACATGTAAAACAGTACTTTGAAGGAAATTTAGAACATTAAATGCTTATATTAGAAAATCAGAAAGACCTCAAATCAATTATCTATGCCTCAACCTTCAGAAAATGGGAAAAGAACAACAAAATAAACCCAAAGTAAAAGTAGAAAGAAATAATAAAGAGCACTAAGATTAAACCATAAAATTGAAAACAGGAAAGCAACAGAGAAAAATCAGTGAAATCAAAAGCCAGTTCTTTATAACAAAGTTGGTACATCTCCAGCAAGACTAACCAAGAAACAAACAAACCAACAAAAGACACAACTTATCAATGTCAAGAACAAAAGAAGGGTTATCACTGTGGACCCCTAATTCATTCAAAGCAAAAGTGAATACTATTTAATCCCACACAACTAAGATGTATAATTTAAACGAAATGAATTAACTAAAACTATATAAAATCACAAAAAAGATAAAAATTAGTATTCTATAACTATTAATTATAGTTATTGTAGTTATGTTACTATTAAAGTCTATAGCTATTCTATAATAGTCCTTTAACTTTAAATAAATTGAATACATAGTTAAAAATATCCTGCAAAATTATTTTTTTTATTAGTTGTTCAAAACATTACATAGCTCTTGACATAACATATTTCATACATTTGATTCAAGTGGGTTATGAACTCCCATTTTTCCCCTGTGTACAGATTGCAGAATCACATCGGTTACACATCCACGTTTTTACATACTGCCATACTATTGTCTGTTGTATTCTACTGTCTTTCCTATCCTCTACTATCCCCCCTCCCCTCCCCTCCCCTCCCATCTTCTCTCTCTACCCCATCTACTGTACTTCATTTTTCTCCCTTGTTTTTTTCCCCCCTTTCCCTTCACCTCCTCTTACATGTAATTTTGTATAACGATGAGGGTCTCCTTCCATTTACATGCAATTTCCCTTCTCTCTCCCTTTCCCTCCCACCTCTCATCCCTGTTTAATGTTTATCTTCTTCTCATGCTCTTCCTCCCTGCTCTGTTCTTAGTTGCTCTCCTTATATCAAAGATGACATTTGGCATTTATTTTTTACGGATTGGCTAGCTTCACTTAGCATAATCTGCTCTAGTGCCATCCATTTCCCTGCAAATGCCATGATTTTGTCATTTTTTAGTGCTGAGTAGTAAGTACTCCATTGTGTAAAATGCCACATTTTTTTTATCCATTCATCTACTGAAGGGCATTTAGGTTGGTTCCATAGTCTAGCTATTGTGAATTGTGCTGCTATGAACATCGATGTAGCAGTATCCCTATAGTACGCTCTTTTAAGGTCTTTAGGGAATAGTCCAAGAAAGGGAATAGCTGGGTCAAATGGTGGTTCCATTCCCAGCTTTCCAAGGAATCTCCATACTGCTTTCCACATTGGCCGCACCAATTTGCAGTCCCACCAGCAATGAACAAGTGTACCCTTTTCCCCACATCCTCGCCAGCACTTGTTGTTGTTTGACTTCATAATGGCTGCCAATCTTACTGGGGTGAGATGGTATCTTAGGGTGGTTTTGATTTGCATTTCTCTGACTGCTAGAGATGGTGAGCATTTTTTCATGTACTTGTTGATTGATTGTATGTCCTCCTCTGAGAAGTGTCTGTTCAGGTCCTTGGCCCATTTGTTGATTGGGTTATTTGTTATCTTATTGTTTAATTTTTTGAGTTCTTTGTATACTCTGGATATTAGGGCTCTATCTGAAGTGTGAGGAGTAAAAATTTGTTCCCATGATGTAGGCTCCCTATTTACCTCTCTTATTGTTTCTCTTGCTGAGAAAAAACTTTTTAGTTTAAGTAAGTCCCATTTGTTGATTCTTGTTATTAACTCTTGTGCTATGGGTGTCCTATTAAGGAATTTGGAGCGCGACCCCACAATATGTAGATCGGAGCCAATTTTTTCTTCTATCAGACACAGAGTCTCTGATTTGATATCAAGCTCTTTGATCCATTTTGAGTTAATGCTGCGCCCCTCCCCTGACTCAGGCAATGGCAAGGCCCTACTGAGGTGGATGGCGCAAGGCGTCCATCCTCTGGAGGAGCACAGTATATTTCTGGGAATGGGCTGGTTTGTTTTTGTATTCCTTTAATAAGTATAGTTGCGATTTCTCATATGACCATTAAGTATGAAGGAAAAAACATGACTTTCCCAATTAATGTAACTACTTCTAAGAATAGATCTGTTTGGTCTAAATGCAATGATTCAGCTGTGAAGCGTAAATTGTTAATGTCTAATGAAAAACTCCCTGTATTCCTGTCAAGGAAGTTTTTGAGAAATTAAATTAAAATCTAGAGAATAATAATTAATGTTAAGAAGACAGATTAGTGCTTAGTACTGGGCAACTTGTTCTTGTTCCTGTGCACAATGGTTTGTGCTTTTACTCTTGTTTGATTAAAATTAAAACAAGTCAACCACTTGCCGTAACCATGGCACCGGTTCCAGTCAGTAAGTCAAGAAAGAATAGTCAAGGTATAGGCCAATAGTTTGGGACATTTCTAACTATTATTAAAAGTTAACTAAGCAGAAACAGCTCAAAGCAAAACGCGAACTGAAAGTTCAAATGCTTGCTTATGCATAAGCCAAGATATATTCTTCTATTCTAATTGTAGCTACGTAATATTTTGTTTCTTTGAATAATGATTCCTGTTTTGTAACCACAAAGTACTATGAGCCTGCCAAAATGAAAAGTATATATGATCAACTTCACAAGTAAAGATTGGGATTCAGCACCTTCACTTTGGTGTCTGTGTTGTTTCTCCACCTTCCTTTCGCCGACTCCTCACCATCCGTTCGTCTCCTGAGACCCCCTGTTGGAGCTGGACTCCAACAAGTTAACTTTTGTGCATGGTGAGAGAAAGGGATTCAGTTTCATTTTGTTGCATATGGATTTCCAGTTTTCCCAGCACCATTTGTTGAAGATGCTATCCTTCCTCCATTGCATGCTTTTAGCCCCTTTATCAAATATAAGAAAGTTGTAATTTTGTGGATTGGTCTCTGTGTCCTCTATTCTGTACCATTGGTCCAATCCTGCAAAATTATGAGTGCACACAGCTGTAATCCTAGCAACACTGGAGGCTGAGGCAGGAGGATCTTAAATTCAAAGCCAGCCTCAGCAATTTAGCAAAGCCCTAAGTAACTTATCGAGGCCCTATCTCAAAATAAAAACGGCTGGGGATATATCTCAGTGGTTAAGGGCCTGTGGTTTTGTCCTATCTCTGGGACAAAACAAAATTTTAAAATCCTGCAAATAATCTCCACAACCAGATGGTTTCAGTGACAAATTTTAACATGCATTTGAAGAAGAGATATAACCAATGTTATTACATAAAAAACAAACAAACCCAGAAGTAAAGGGAATTCTTTCAAACTCATAAATGATAATCAGTATTACTCTGAAACCCAAACTATACAAGACAGTAAAAGAAACACAGAAAACATAGACCAACATCCCTCATGAATATACATGCAAAAATTCTCAAGAAAATATTAGCAAATCAAATGTTTTAGTCAGCTTTTCACTTCTATGACTGAAAAGACCTAACCAGAAAATTTTAGAGGAGGAAAAGTTTATATGGGGGATCAGAGTTTCAGAGGTCTAGTCCATAGGCAGCCAATTCCATTCCTTGAGGTGGGAGGTGAGCAGGACATGATGGTGGAAGACATGATGATCAGGAAGCAGAGAGACACCACTTGCCAGATAAAAAGCATATACCCCAAAGACATGTCCCCAATAAGCACCTCTCCAAGCCACACCCTGCTTGTCTTCAATTGCCACTCAGTTAATTCCATCAGGGGTTAATTCATTGATTGGGATAAGGCTCTCATAACCCAATCATTTCTCCTCTGAACATTTTTGCACTGTTTCACACTTGAGCTTCTGAGGGACACCTCACATCCAAACCATAACATCAAATTTGGCCATATATTAAAGAAGTAATACACCATGACCAAGTGGAGTTTATCCCACCATTCAAGGCTATCACTATAGTCCACCAAAGAGGAAAAAACTTGATCATACCAATTGGTACACTAGAAAAAAATTCAACATCCTTTCATAGTAAAAACTTTCTGCAAACTAGGACTAGAAGGGAAGTTACAAACAGAGAAAGGGCACTTCTAAAAAAAAAAAACCTACAGCGAATCATACTTAATAGACAAAGACTGAGTACATTCACACTAAAATTAGAACAAGGCAAGGATATTCTAATAACCAATAATAATGAGGAAAAAAATCTAGAAAATGGGGGAGCATATAGACATAAAAGAAAGAAAACCGCCTTCATTCATAGCCAACACTATGTTAGAAATTAAAAAAAAAAAAAAAAAAGCTTGGCCCAGCAGTGTACAGCTGTAATCCCAGGGATTTGGGAGGGTGATGCAGGGAGGATCATAACTTTGAGGCCAGGCCAGCCTCAGAAACTTGGGGACCCTGTCTCAAAATTTAAAAACGGGCTGGGGATGTATCTCAGTAGTAGAATATTCTGGGATCAATCCGCAGTAGCGGAGGTGGGGTAGGGGTGGGAGGCTTAAGGCCCCTATATAAACTAGCAATGAACAAATGGGAATCAAAAATCAAAAATTCAAAACAAAACACGTTTATAATACTCTTTAAAAATTCTTGGGCAAAACAAAAAATTCTTGGTAAAAAGGAAGCAAAATACATGTAATGTCTACATGCTAACTACAAAAAGTTAATGAAAAGAAACTAAAGAGGACCTAAATAAATGGAGAAACAACTATGTTCAACGATTGAAAGACTCAATGTAATAGAGATGATCAGTTTTCCACAAATGACCTGCGGATTTAATGCAATTTCCAATCAAAACCCCAGCAATTCTGTTTTCCAGAAATGGACAAGCCAATTATAAAATTTCTGTGGAAATGTAAAGATAGACTTGACAAAACAATTTTGAAACTGAAGTTGTAAAAATCACACTAAAACTTAAGACCTACTTCAGCAATCAAGACAGTTGTAGTATTGATAGAGACAGAATAGAGGATCAGAAATAGGCCCACAGAAACATGGTCAATTGATATCTGAAAAGGTGCAAAGGCAAGCCTAAGGAGAAAGGTTAGTTTTTTCAACAAATGGTTGAAGAACTGGACATCCATATGCCAGAAAACTAATCTCAACACAATTCTTACACTTTATACAGAAATTAACTCAAAATGGAACACTGTTTTAAATGTTAAACGTAACACTTCTATAAGAAACAAGAGGAGAAAATCCTGGTAACTTGGGGTTAAACAAAGATTTTTTTTAGATGTTTACCAAAGCATGACTCCTAAAAGAAAAATTTGATAAACCGAACTTCATTAAAATTACAACTAAGGAAAAATACCATTAAGACAGACTGAAAACACAAGCTATATCTATACTGGAAGAAAATACTTTCAAATCACATATCTGATGAAAGACTTGTATTTACAATGAAAATCTCTCAAAACGAACGCTAAGAATACAGTTTTTAAAATAAGCAAATGAGCAAAAGACTTTAATACTAACTAAAAAAACATGTATGGTAAATAGGCACATGAAAAGATGTGCTTATTAAAGATATTCAATTAAAACCATGATGTGTTTTTTTACCACCCTATTAAAATGGCTATTTGTCTATCATCAATACCCAACCGCTTCAGTTTTAATAGTTTTAAAACCCTTGCTAAGTCATTGCTTTTTCTTCAGAATTGTTTTTACCTATATTTAGCCTTCTCTCCAATCTAATTCAACCCAGACTTCTGGAGTACTCTAGAATAAAAATCAAAATGCTTGTGATAATTCATTCAAACTGGTGGTAGCTTTCGGAATTTGAGGAGTACCACTTTAATTGGGCAGCAGGACAAGTATTATTATTCCTTTTTTACCAATAAGAAATAGACTTAGGGGCCGGGTGGGGTGGCACACGCCTGTGATCCCAGTGGCTCAGGAGGATAAGGCAGGAGGATTGAGAGTTCAAAGCCAGCCTCAGCAATTTAGCCAGTTCCAACTCAGTGAGACCCTGTCTCTAATAAAATACAAAACAGGGCTAGGGATGTGGCTCAGTGGAGGAGTGCCCCTGAGTTCAATCCCCAGTACCCCCCCAAAAGAAAAGAAAATAGACTTAGTAATTACCAATATGAGGAACCCAGTGAAAGAGCCCAGCTAGTACCAGAAATAGATCTTCCGATCCCAGTTTTATTCTTGAGCCAGGCTGGATTCACAAGGTCTTATTTGCTTTCACTTATTCAGAAACCATCTTGACCTGCATAGGTAGAAAAACAAAGCAAATTCCCTGACTCTAACGAATCAATGAACTTCCAAGATAGTCATAAGAAATAAACAAGAAAGCCTAAGAACAATTTATATAAAAAAAATTACAAAATTTTGCCTGCTGCGGTGGCACATGTATTCTCAGTGGCTCAGGAAGTTGAGGTGGGAGGATCACTAGTTCAAAGCCAGTCTCAGCAAAAGTGAGGCACTAGGCAACTCAGAGAGACCTTGTCTCTAAATAAAATACAAAATAGGGCTGGGGATATGGCTTAGTGGTTGAGTGCCCCTGAGTTCAATCCCAGTACCAAAACCAAACAAAATTTCAAAATTTTTTTCATGTAACTAATACAAGCCTAAGAACCATTTTAATTAGACCTTAGTTAATTAAGCAACAAAAGTTTATCGATAGACTTTTAAAAATTATAATTAACATCTACTTTAAAAAACATTCTCTAGGCTGCATAATGAAACACTATCAAAATGAACCATACTTAAAATTTGTTCATAATTATAAAACCATCTATTCAGGGAAAGAAACTGTAAATAGCAGGCAGCTCAAAGGATAATTTTATTACTATTTCAGAAAAACAGTGACACAGTTTCTAAGAATTTGCATGTTCATTTCCTGTATGTGAAACCACAAAAGTGTAAAATATTTAATAATATTAATTTATTTTGCTATTCTTCCTGAAAAATGATTTCCTCCCTTTCTTTGTCTAATAAGTAGAGTGGAAGAAGTACTTTTCAAACTAACAAGTTTCAATTTTTTTAAAAATAGCCTTCAGTTAAAAAAAAAAGTTATACTTTTAACATACCTGCCTATTTTCCTAGTACCTACCTACTTTAACTAGTCACAAAATGTTTACATTGTTTTCTATAGGTAGGTCTAAATTGCAGGCAAATTTTTTTTAAACAATTTTTTTTGGTGTGTTTCCTGCATTAGCCACATTCTCACCCACTCTTGCCACCAAACATGTACATTCAAGATTCCTGGCAGATGGTTCAAGAACATTCTGCTGCTGGTAAAAAAGAAACTGCCACCTACCCAAGACAGCAATTGCCAGCTGTTTACTTATAGACTTCTTTTTGGTTAAGAAAATTTTAAAAAATTCAGGTCACTCATCTGTTTCCTTTATCCAGAAATCTACTATCTTATAGCTAGACCTACACAAAATTACTGTGACTACTGATATACCACAGATTTCTTTAAATGTCAGTTTAGTGTAAATTTTTTTTAACTGTCCAAGTAGATACCTCTAATGACAATTAGTAGATAACATTAATTGACACATGAGATAGAAAAATAAAAAGGCATAGTTATGTCTTTCAGAAAAGTTCATAATCTTTTTTTATTTTTATTTATTTTTTTGGTGGTGCCGGGGATTGAACCTAGGGCCTTGTGCATGCTAGGCAAGCACTCTACCAACTGAGCTATATCCCCAGCCCCCAAAGCTCATAATCTTAAGAGATCAAGAATTATGCATTTAATTACACATAAAAATAAGCATTATACAGACATACATGTCACTATTTGAAATCACGGAAAATTTTCATTGGTGCAGTGAACATAATTGGAGCTTTATAAAGAAAATTAATTTTTAAAGTTGGACAGAACAGAATTTGAAAGGAATAATGCTGGAAGATTTTTAGAAAAATCATATATATTTGGACCTAACAGAGTGGTGCACATCTATATTCCCAATGAAGTAGGACTGAAAGTTCAAGACCAGCCTCAGTATTTTTTTTAAGCTTTATTTTATTTATTTATTTATATGTGGTGCTGAAGATCCAACCCAGGGCCTCACACATGCTAGGCGAACGCTACTGCTGAGCCACAACCCCAGCACCCAGCCTCAGCATCTTAGTGAGAACTTATCTCAAAATAAAAAATTAAAAAGTCTGGAGACTTAGCTTAGTGGTAAAGTCCCCCTGGGCTCAATTTCCAACACCCAAAAAAAAGGCGCAGGCCTGTAATCCCAGTGGCTCCCGAGGTTGAGGAAGAAGGATCTTGAGTTCAAAGCCAGCCTCAGCAACAGCAAGGTGATAAACAACTGAGTGAGCACCTGTTTCTAAATAAAGTATAAAAAATGGCTGGGGATGTGGCTTAGTGGTTGAGTGCCCCTGAGTTCAATCCCGGGTAACCGCCCCCCGCCATAATAAAATATCCTTAGAATCACAATTAAACAAAAGTTTCATATACACATATGCAAACAGTTACAGCAATTCCAAAAGGAACCAACCTAATCTAAACCCATTGTTTCTAACCTATAGGCCAAGGAGTCAGTGGCACAGTTGCATGAATGCACACACAGGAAGCATTGCAAACAGTCTAAGACATTTCTCTCACATATAATTCCACTACTTTTCAAATATAATAGTATAATAAAACACAAAATTATTTGAAAGCATAGGGTTTTTTTCCCTTTCCATTATAATTCCAATCAACCAATAATTTAAAAATTTTACAATTACATACGTATTAGGAGTATGGGATTGCTCATATTCAAAATAGGCAGGGGCCTTCAAGCAAATATACAAGGTTCCTTCTAGGTCTTAAAATTCCATGGTTTTAAGGAACTAAAAACTCCGTGGTAAAGTTTTTAGAACAATTATAAATATGTATACATATGTACATATAAATAATGTGCCAAGCACTGGAATAGATTCTATTTCAAAGATGAAATGACATGATTTCAGACTCAATTTCAAGTTCGCAGAACAGATAAATGAACAAATAATACTTCCTAATAAATACCACCAAACTATCTGAAGCGCTTTGTCACCTGGGGGAGTCTGAGAAAATCCACGAATTAAGTTTTGATAAATGGCAAACAGGGACAGATGCTACAGTCCTATAAAGAGAAAGAGCTGTGAAAAATGCACGGCACTTTTGGAAAAAACAGCCAGTGTCTGGTATGGTTGGACGTTAAAGTATCTGGAGAAGAAGCAAGTTGAGACTCTAAAAATATGATTGAGACAGACTGTAAAAGATCTTGAATGACATGCTTGATAATTAGGACTTGATTCTGTCAGCAATACGGTTACTTGAAAAGTTTAAGGAGAGATGTAAACAAAATGTATGCCAGAACTGTAAGGACGTTAACGGGGAAACTAGTTTGGGGTAGGTGCAATAATTCTGGTGAAAGAAGAAACAATACAGTGCAGTTTAACTGGAACTGTGGATTCTTGGGTTTCTAGTTTGGATGTTAGGACGTATACTGGTGTCAGTATCAGTATCTGGGATGGAATAAAGATGAAAACCAGAAAAAAAGAGTAATATCTCTTGGAGGGCGGTTTCAAGAAGGGAATGGTCATCTGCGGCAAATACTGCAAAGGGGTAAACTGGAGGAAAAAGGGTCCCTTTCCCTAACCCTCAAGGTGGGTAAGAAGAGAAGAAAACAAATACGGATGGTACACACAGGTTTGGGGCCGAGAGTTTCTAATAAACTTTCCGTACCTCCATTCCGGAAAGAGGAGCTCAAAGCTAAGCACCGGGCTGGCTCCCAAGAGCTGAGACTGCGAAGTGGCCGGGGCCGGAGAGCCGGTGGTTCTCAAGTGGCACGCACCGAGGCAGCCCACAGGCAAAGGAAGCTTCCGACTCGCCTACGCCCGCTCTGGTCCCCGGGTTTATACCACTTACTGCGCTCTCAATCCCTCGCAGCCGTCGGCTATGGAGATGAGGACCTCTGACGACCGGGTCTTAAGCACCCAAAGGAAAAGACTCCGCACCTCTGTTCCGCGTCTTCAGCGAGCAGACGCAGAATCCAACAGAGACAGCACAGACAACTGGCAAGTCAGCGGGGTTCAGCCCCATCACTGACCCGGGATAAACCTCCGCCGACCGTCCCCGACTAGCGCTCCTTGACTGCCCCAGTCTCGCGAGATTTCCTCCCTCGCGTTACCGTGGAGCAGAGCCGGCCGCTCGCCGCTGATTTGCGGGAGAGGTAGGGGCGGGGCCTTCCTGTGTCCCTCCCTGTTTACCCACTCTAGTTTTAGCTCGTCTTCTCGCTAAGTCTCGCGTGTTTTTCTAGGGGCAACGGGCCTAGGTGAAGAGACAGAAAAGCAGACGCGGGAGGGTGGGTGCTAAGCCTATGGGTTCTAAATCTAAGGGGTTGTGGCCTGTTCAGCGGTGCTGTGGTTGGTACTTCACTTTTGGGGACACTCTTAGGTCGCCCGGATCATTCTTCCCAAAGGGTGATTGGGTAAATTAGTGGGTAGAACATCTCGAGGTTGGAGGCAATTTTTTTTCTCATTGGCTCCGCCCTCTTCCTGTTTGGCGTCTTGTGCGTCGGTCCTTGGAGGAGGAAGAGAAGCTTGGCGGGGCTGTCGAAGAGTGCTTTGCGCAAGCGCGAGCCCGAGTATGTGAGTGTGTGTGTATGTGCACGCGCACGCGCGCACTCCTGCATTTAGGAAGCCTGGGAAGGACCGGTGTTCTGGAGATGTGCGGGGAAAGCGTAGTCCCCTGGTTTTGGTACCAGACACTCCTGACTGTGCGTTGATTCTCCCACCCTCCCAGCCAGCAGCCTTTGCCAGAGAGGCACAGCCTCTGTTGGTTTTCACTGCAGGACCAGGCACGAAAGTAAGCGAACCTCGATTTTGAGGTCTTCCCTATCCACTCACCTTGTATTACCCCCTTCCCAACCCCCGGCAGAGTGTGTCTAGGAGGTTTCTTAAAGAGAGTTTTGCATGAAGGGGAGATGTGTTTTGAGAACAGAAGAAAATAGCGGTCGTAAAAAGAGTTCGTTTTGATGAACACTTTTCCTCTGCTAAACATGTGCTTTTGGAATGTGGATTTGTCTATTTAGTATTTTATTAGTGAAGTAAGAGAGTATCTCATGCTCTGTTTTAATAAGAAAAAGTTTAAAAAGTTCCATTTCCCCAACAGTGTAATTGTAGCAACCAAGTTATTCTGTTCTACATGGAAATTATTGTGGTCTATCAAATGTCAAGAAGAAGAATGAGTTTGGGGTCCTTATCCTAATACGAAGACCCGATATGCAGTTATCTTGGGAGTTGTTTATTATGTTTTGGGCTTTACTTTTGCTGTCACGTTCCTTAATTGTTAGTTTTCCCTCACTCCACTCACCTTTTTCAGAAGTCTTGAAACTTTTTTGTTTGTTTGTTTTTGGAGGGAAGCTCAAAATTGCTGACTTAGAGGTTTTTATATATCAATGTCAATTAGGATAACCAAAAGTGTATTTGAAGAGTATTTATTATTTTTCATGTTTGGTAAATATAAGGGAATCAGATACAATGATATATAAAATGTTTTTTTCTGACAATTTTAAGTTATTTTAAAAAGCAAAAATAAAAAAATTATGGAATGTAACTTTCTGTGCCTGGTAAAGTGACAGTCTCATTTGAATTGACCCAGTTGCTTTCTGGTCCTAACCCTGGTAAACATTGTCATTAAACTTTTCCTTTGTTGGGCAAATTTCTTTGAACATATTTTTAATATCTCCTACCAATTTTTTTGTGTGTGTGGAAAAGTCCTGTTAGTTAGAAATAATTTAAGATATTACATGTTATATATCACCATTTAACTAATGTACATTTCCCCATATAGGTTAAAAATGAAGATTTTTTCTGAATCTCATAAAACAGTATTTGTTGTGGATCACTGCCCTTATATGGCAGAATCATGCCGACAGCATGTGGAGTTTGATATGCTGGTGAAGAATAGAACCCAAGGAATCATCCCTCTGGCCCCAATCTCTAAATCATTGTGGACTTGTTCAGTAGAATCTTCGATGGAGTACTGTAGAATAATGTATGATATATTTCCATTTAAAAAGCTGGTGAGTATACATTACAAACAAAATTTATGATATGGGGGGGATATACTTAACTGTGTAAATAAATTTGTTGTACATTTGACTTAGAACTATTTATTTACTACTTAAAATGCACACAGAACTGCTATTTGGGATAAATATATTATAGATATTTAATTGGAACCAGTAATAACAGCTGGTAACTATTGAACACTTACATGCGCCAGACATGTTTCGAAGTGCTTTATATTTATTAGCTCCTTTGATTGTCACAACAGTTAGATGAAGTAGGTACCATAAGTATTGAGGCAATTTTAATATGTAACAACTAATATGGAACAAGCACCATTGAGAATTATGGGAGCCCAAGCAGAAGGAGCATTGGCTATAAGCAGTTTCTCTACTTGTGCTGGTATGTTGCCAGCTGTATATCAGTTTTGTTTATTACAGTTGTGGTGTTCATACAAAAACTGAGGTAAAGAAACTTGTCCCTAGTCACATAGCCAGTTAGAGATAGAGCCAGAATCTGAATCTAAGCAGACTGGCTGCTTGCCATTCTAAAGAATATATACTAAACTGCTTAGGATTTGCCCAACTTAAAAAGAAATGCTCTTAAAATACTAAGTTGGGGTTAAGAGTGTAGCTCATTGGGAAGCTCTAGGTTTAATCCCCAGCACCAAAAGAAAAGGAAAGAAAGAAAAAATGATGCTAAATGGAATTTTTTTTTATATCAAGAAGAGAAATTGATGATTAATAGAAAATTTAAGTATTAAAAATTATCTTTAGGTTTTATTATCTCAGATGTTTTATTTTGGGAAAGTCATTTGGTTAGCCACAAGTGGATGATGTGCTCTCCGTCTCATTTGCAGCAGCCTGGGCTGGGACCTAGCCAATTCTTAGACTGGCAAAGATAGCATAGTCACAGCTAAGGTGAATATAGAGAGTCCAACATTATGCATTCAGATATATTCCAAGTTAAAAAATAAGTTCCTTATATATTTATAATTTTTGGCAGGGGAGGGTACCAGGGATTGAACTCAGGGGCATTCAACCACTGAGCCACATCCCCACCCTTTTTTTTTGTATTTTATTTAGAGCAGGGTCTCACTGAATTGCTTAGCATCTCATCGTTGCTGAGGCTGGCTTTGAACTCACGGTCCTCCTCCTGCCCAGTCTCCCTAGCTGGTGGGACACAGGCTTGCGCTGTGGCACCTGGCCCTTTTGAAATTTTTGTGCATCCTGTATAGATATATAATGAGGGGAAGAATAGCATCTTGATTTTAGGCACAGGCTTCAGTTCAAATCCTGGCATCTAGCAACCAGCAGTGTGACTTGGATAATATTTCTTAATCTCTCCAAGCCTTAGTTTCCTCCTATGTAAGTATTATACCTATTTTCTCGCTGTAAGATTTAAGTGAGATAATCTAATAAAGTGGCTATAAAATTTATTCCTGTCAGATAAACATTGGAGAAAAGACCGATTATCAAACCTTTTCTTTAAAGAAGGAAACTAACATTTCATGTATATTAGGGAAAAAAGATCATCTCATCCAGGGGAAAAAAAGAAATTTCTTCCTCCTCTCAAAAAGTGACATAGTCACTTGATATATTTTCTAATATGTTCCTTATCATCATCCTACCTGGTGGTTTTTTGTGGTGCTGGGGAGCAAACCTAAGGCCTTTCGCATTCTAGGCAAGTGCTCTACCACTGAGTTATATTCTCAGCCCCAATAATGTTTTGTTTTTTTTTTTTTTGTATTTTACTTTAGTAAAAATAATGTATTTCAAATCCATTATTTGGCTTTCAGTGGTCTGAATTACTGAGTGCTCTATAGATAAGGCTATTGCCCTATTTGTTTGAACTTTTTTCCTGCTACTCTGCTTACTCTTTATTTTTTTTATTTTTTATTTTTTTTAAACTCTTCTAAGGGTACACACCTATCAACTTTTGCATTTGCTGTTTGCTGTACCTGGAATTCTCTATCCCTGTTTTTTTCAGTGGCTAGTTTCCTTTGGTCATTTTAATTTTCTCTAGATTGCCACTTTCTATAGAGAGCCTGTGTCTCACAACCCGATCTAGAGTAGCTAACAACTATTTTTCATAGTATTTATCACTCTCTGAAATTATCATGTTAATTTGTATTCTTGTTGCAATGCTCCTTACTTTGTCACATTCCCTATTCTAGACTTCCCCCACATTGTGACAGAATTGTTTTATCCATCCCTATAGTACCATGTCCCCATTGCTAAGAATAGTACCTGGTATAAGCTAGGCATTCTGTTATTATAAAATGAATGAATTAATCAAACAATGAATCAGTGGTAGAAATTGCATATTATATTAAAGTATGGTGGTTAAGTAAAACTATAGTTGAATATTAATTGTTTCTTTGACATCTATTAGGTGAATTTCATTGTGAGTGACTCTGGAGCACATGTTTTAAATTCTTGGACTCAAGAAGACCAAAATTTACAGGAGGTATGGTTAGGTTTTAAGTTGTGGCTGTTTTTGAAAATTATCTAAATATGGCAATAGTTTTTTTTTTTAAAAAAGTTTATTTATTTATTTATGTCCATGTTGTATTTATACATAGTTTTAAAATTTCCAGTTAAATTAAAAGAAAAACAGCTTTCCATTTCACTCACCCTCTCACCCCCAAACATCTTTCACTTCTAGTTTTTCTGATGTATATTTTCATATTTCTAAACAACATATTTTTACTCCTACTTATTGAGGTCTCAATTTATAATTTATCTATTTATCATTATTGTTAGGATTTATCTTTTTTATATTCCCTTCACCCATTCCTTTCCCTGTTTTCTCAGAATTATTATATCAGAATTATTGGTTTGCTTAAAATTTCATATTTCTGTTATAATGTCCACATACAGTGTTTTTCACTATTATGCCAGGTAATATCTATGATTATTTGTGCAAATTTTTATTTATTCCTAGAATTAATTATTTCCTTTTTTCTATGTTTGCTTAAACTTCTCAGTATTTTTATTATAGATGTATTAGATAATTTAACAGTTTGATACCTTCACGAATTACTTCTTGAAGCACAGTCTGAACTGGCACTTTCTGGGCTTACTGCACTGCAGTTATCCTCTTTGC